ATACATGTAATTAAAAAATAAAAAGATTCTGAGGGTGCTGGAGAGATGGCTCTGCAGTTAAGAGCACTGACTGCTCTTGCAGAGGACCCAGGTTCAATTCCCAGTACCCACATGGTGGCTAACGAACCATCCTTAACTCCAGTTCCAGGGGAATCCAAAGCCCTCTTATGACCTCTGTGGCACTGCACGACACGGGTACACTCACATACATGTAGGCAATACACTCATATACAGAAAATAAAAACGAAATATTTAAAAAATAAAAAAATTCCAAACGGGCTGGAGAGATGGCTCAGCAGTTAAGAACACTGGCTGTTCTTGCAGAAGACTTGGGTTCGAATCCCAGCATCCACATGGCAGCTAACTCCAGTTCTAGGGGATCCGACAGCCTCTTCTGTCCTCCTCGGGGATTTCACAACACAGGTGGCACCTACCTACATACAGGCAATACACGCATACACATAAAATAAAAATAGTAAAATATTAAAAAAAACAAAAACAAAAACATGGAGCTGGAGAGATGGCTTAGTGGTTAAGAGCACTGACTGCTCTTGCAGAGGACCCGGGTTTGATTTCCAGCACCCACATGGTGGCTATGAATCGTCCTTAACTCCAGTTCCAGGGAAATCGGAAGCCCACTTCTGACCAAGGCACTGCAGGACACGGGTTGTACTCACATACATGGAAGCAATACACTCATACACATAAAAAATAAAAAATAATAAATAAATATTTTTTAAAAAGATTCTAAAAAAGATATGTAGCTCAGGATCTGTCTGTCCTATTTTCCCAACTTTTGAACAAAAGCTAAATTTTGCTCTCAATCAGCAGAACAAGGTCGGCTCTTAGTCCTAAACTGACAAATGCCCACTCCCCCAATGCTACCTATTAACTAGAAGAGTCAAAGGCCAAGCTCACCAGTACATAATGGATGGCTCTGTGAAGCAGTCACTTCCAGACTGGTATCTAAGACCTAAGTCTCTGGGCATGACCTCTCAGGAGTGATAAAAGGAAGCAGTGTTTAAGCAGTTAGTCCTAAGGCGATTATTCTAACAATTAGAGTCTGTTTTATTTTTTTATTTTTCATTTTATGTGTATGAGCGTATTGCCTGAATTGGTTGTTAGCTGCTGTGTGGGTGCTGGAAATTGAATTCAGGTCCTCTGCAAGAACAGCTAGTGCTCTTAACCACTGACCCATCTCTACAGTTTCCCATCTTGTATTTTCTGAGACAGGGTCTCTCACTGGCCTGGAGCTAGCTAAGAAGGCTACGCTGGGTGGCCCTGTCTCCACCTCTCTAGCCCTAGGATTACAAGTGTAGGCCACCATGCCTGGCATTTTTTTTGTTGTGTGAAATCAAACTCCGGTCCTTCCACCTGACAGTACTTTAACAAGTGAACTATCTTCCCAGCCCTGGAGCCTGTTTTAATCTGTCCTACTCACTCTACGGGGACAGAAGAAATATGGGATGAATTGACATGAAGAAAAGGTAAACGTTCTCTAGAGTACAGCATAAAAGAAAGGGAAAGGAACCAAATGGGACCAAATGGTAAGGTTACCGAAACATAAAACGAAACCAAAACTTGGCAGTTGGGTTTAGAAAGGAACATAAAACACTTCTAGAATGGTTTGTGAAGCCTTGCTCTAAATGTCCAGGTTTAGACACTGCAGAGTCAAATGTCGGCCACAAACAAAAATCTCTTTTGAATGCCAATTAGCACATAATGATTTTTGCCATGGTGCCTTTGATAAAAGACACCACTGCCACTAAAAACTCAAGACTCAAGTCAGGTAATAACACCTAGAATCAATCAGCATCTGCAAAGCACCATTGTTTTCATATAACCTGTAGCTATACTGCTCTCACCTCTGGGAAGAGAATCCATCAGGCAGCAAAGGAAAGCAGGCCTCTTACTTGCTTTCATGCAGGACTTGAGGGGTATTACTAACAGGCAGGTGTTCATTTAACGGTGTTATCAAGTGAGCAGGTGTCAGAAGATTTAAATTAGTGGATGTGCCTAGAACCTAGAGCAGTATCTCCCAACTAGGGATGAAGATGCCCTGCAACCCTCACCCACTGAGATACCTGGCAACCAGATACTTCTGATCATCATAAAAAATGTTACTAGTGTCTAGCAGATAAAGGTCAGGGATGCTCCTAAATTTTTTACATTGTATGCACAGTCCACCCAGAAAAGAATTTGCAAGCTCCAGATAGCAACAGTACTGCTAAGAAACAGTAATCAAGATCTTCCATCATGGAACCTCCCCCTCAACCTGCCTCACATCAACACCTATCCCTCTCCCCTTTCTTTAGCTATAGCTATGCCCCACTGCTGCTGCTGAAGGTCTGTTACTGTGTGCTCCCCACATTCTTCATTTGGCTAGTTTCCAGTCATCTTCCCAAGTACTTCGATACTACATAGAGGCTAAGATGCCCCTTTAACATGCTTCTGCAATTATTTTTCTGGATTATGACTATCCACCTGCTCTGATGCCTACAGAGTTTGAATTACATGAAGATTAGAGTCATTCACTGATTAAGCCAGGTGTAGTGGTATAGGTAATCCCAGCATGCCTGGAAGCAGAAGCAGGTGGATCTCTGTAAGATTGAGGCCAGCTGTTTACATAGCAACTTCCAAGCCAACTAGGGCTACAGGGAGACCCTGTTTTTATTTTTTTTTTTGGGGGGGAGTCTTTTTGAGACAGGGTCTCCCTGTAGCCCCAGCTGTCCTGGAACTATGTAGACCAGGCTGGCCTTGAACTCAGAAATCCGCCTGCCTCTGCCTGGGATTAAAGGTGTGCACCACCACCACGCCCAGCCTGACCCTGTCTTAAAAAAAAAAAAATTCCATCAGTGCCCTAGCTGTTTCCCCACAGAGAGCAGGGTTCACTATGTAGCTGTATAGGCATTTGAGAGCCTATCCTGTGTCATGCTCTGTTAGACACCAAATCACCACAGTCACATCTAATAGACTTCAAAAGTTGGCACCATCCCCATTCTAGAGGTAAAGAAAGCCAGCTCTGAGAACATACCTACAAGATCCCAAAGAATGATGGCTTACATCTGCAACCCTAGCACTTGAGGGGCGGAGGCAAGAGGACTGCTATGAGTTGGCATCTAAGCTACAGAGTGAGCTACAGAGTAAAAATAAATAAAATCCCAAAGCAAGTGAAAGCTAGATTCAAAGCTTGGGGGCAGCACTTCTCAGGACATGGCTGGCCTGTGCACACTAACTCTGCAGCCAAGTCTGAATCCAGGAGGACTGAGAGGGACTGGGAAAGTTTTAGGACTTTACAAAGAGAAGACAAGAGGATTTTCCTGATGGTGCAATTTTGCTGCTGATTACTAACAGACTTGCATCTTAAGAATGTGGAAGTTCTGCTCTTGATGAGTGTGCCTGTGTTGGGGAGAAGAGTCTCAAAGTCATAAAGTACCCTGAAATTTCCCCATTAAGCAGCAAATCACTGAAAGACCTCCACACAACCTTAAAGGTCTATGACTGTAGAAAATTAATATTCCATTAAAAAAACCTAATGGCCTTCGTGTAAGGTCCATTTACCATCAAGAACCTTCAACAAGACAGACCCTATGCCTTCCATATACAGCAAGTCCACTGAAAATTCCTTTTGCGGGAGAGTATTCTGAGACAAGGTCTTACTACAATACCCTAAGCTATCCTCAAACTTACAGCAATCCTCCTGCATGCTGAAATCCCATCCTAAAAGATTCTGTCAAGACATCCATTTGGAAGCATCATGCACATCTGAGACACCCTACACAGCTGTGCTCTAGACTTTATTTTGGGGATTAGAGAAATACATTACTAGACTTACCTTTTTTAGGGCTGGAAATAGCCTCCAAATAAATTTCCACTTCATATAAACAGAACAGTGTTCCAGCAGATGATCCACCCTTCTGGCCAGGGCACTGAGATGTTCTCTAGCAGGATCTGGGGTTCCAAACTGGCCAAGAGCCCAAGATGTGTCCACCAAACTACACTGCCAAACACCAGGTCAACAAGCCAGCTATATTTTGATTTAGTGAATATCAGTAACTAAAGCATTTATATAAAGTACTGAAAAGGTTATCCACAACCAAGAGAAAAATTTAAGAGTGTACTGCACATTATTTCTAGCAAACTACTAACTATTCAACCCCAGGAAAGCTATTCTGCCTAACAATGGAGAACCTGTATCACACACTCAAGATCAGAAGAAGAGGAAAAACTGATAGCTAAGCACAGGCTGGCTGGTTGGTTTTAAGATTTGAAAAGGAATTTGCTTAACATCAAAGGGAAACACATGAAGTCTTGAGCTGAGCTCAATTCCTAGGCACCACATAAACCCAGCCAATGCACACTTAAAATCCCAGCACTTGGGAGGCGGAGGCAGGAGGATCAGAAATTCAAGGTCATCCTGTTAGTGTAGCAAGTCCAATCAAGACCACTTAAAAAAACAAGGTGACTCACAGCTTCAATCTCACCACACCGGAGGCACAGGCAAGCAGATCTCTGAGATGGAGACCGGCCTGGTCTACACTGTGAGTTCCAGGCCAGCTGGGGCTACAGGGAGACCCTGCCTCAAAACAAAACAAACCAAAACAATCCAGGAGTGATGTGTTGGTCTTTAATTCCAGCACTCCTATCTCTGTGAGATCGAGGTAAGCCTGATCTACATAGTGAGTTCTGAGCCAGCTGGGGCCCTGTCTTCTAACAAAAATAAAAATAAACACCACACGCATGGAAAACAGACTCCTATGCTAGCCTCTTAAATGTTTCTAGATGAATTCTCGGGGAAGCTAGTGACCACTTGAAACCTGCCTTCAGGTACGGAATTCCACACGGCTCCCAGTCCCATTTTCTCCCGCTAGGACTTGTAAATACCTCCCTGGCCTGCTCCCTGCGAACTGCACACGCAAGGAGGAGGCGTCACACCCCTAGAGAGGTCTACGGGGTGCTGAGGCGGCAGGGGTGCAGGGCCCTCCTCCCAGGTGGGTTACCTGAGCACAGTCACGCTCCCCCTGCGCACCGGCAGGGAAAGCACAGGTTCGGACACCCGGATCGGCTTGAACTGGAACTTGCAGCCGAAGCACAGCGCCGAGTCGCTGAAGAACGACACGGACACAATGGGGCGCTCGAAGATGTGGATGGGATCCACGTGAGACACGATGCAGCCGCCGGGTTGGTAGTCGTTGATGACTGCGCTGTTGACAAAGCCCTCGGGTATGACGCGGTGCTCCACCAGCTTCTGGATCACCAGCTGATGCACCCACTCAGGGATCTCGTCCACGTCGCCCGGCGGGTAGAGGCGCTCCTGGCCAGGCCCGCGCTTCTGCAGCTGGGCGCCGTACGTGTAGCCCTCGCCGAAGAAGTACTTGTTGCGCAGCGGGGCCCGGTCCACCGTATGCTCGTTGTACAGGCCCTTCTCCGCGCGGGACACCACCTCGTCGATGCGGGCCTCGATCTTGGCGCACTCGTCCTGGCTGAAGAGCCGAATCTGCCGGATGCCACTCTTCACCTTGCGCGCCTCCTCCTCCTTCTGCAACTGCTGCTCCTCGTAGTCACTGCGTTCCGGGTCCGAGTCCTCCTGGTATTTGCGTTTCGTTCCCAACACCGGGTACGGCTCGGCGGCGGACGCGGCGGCTGCGGCGGCGGCGACCGCGGCGGCGGCGGCTGCAGCGGCCTCTCGGCTGCCCGCCTTGTAGTTGTCCCGGGACGTCATGGACTTGAGCTTCTCACGCAGGTCCGTGTAGCCGCTGGCGGCCGCCATGGCCCCCGCGACACAGCTCTAGGGACCTCCGGGGCGGCCGGGCATGGCTCTCGCGGGACGCGCCCGGGGGCCCGGGAGGGAACGGGGGTCCTCAGGGCCGGGCCCCCATGAGTGGGTCAAGGACCCGGGGGGCGGTGAAGAGCCGGGAAGGGGTCGCGCCTCGGCAGCGGCGGGTCATGCAGCACAGGCGACAGCGGGGTTTCCTCCTCCTCCACCTTCTCCACGTCCAGAGGAGGAAGGACGCCGGCGGCACCTCATGCCGCGGAAGGCGGTCGCGGAGGCTCGGCCAGACTCGGGATCAGACCCTCAGACGCCGGCCCGGCCCGCACTTTAAAGCGCTCCTCACGACGTCACCGCCTGCCCGTCCGACCTCCGCCAGCGCCGCTCCTTAGCGGGCTTCTCTACGCACATGCGCAATGCTCTCGACTACGGCGGGCCCCGCGAACTGTGGGCATGCGCGTCCGTGCGGACTGGGCGGCAGAGGAGCCAGCGCAGGCGCACACGGGACCCACTCGGCAGCGGCCGCCCCTCCCCCACCCGTGAGGGGCTTCGAGAGAATAGCTCTCAAACCGTAACCTGCCTTCACGCCACGCGCCTCCGAGGCTGCAGGGCTCCCCACAACCGGGGTGTGCTCGCAGGGACAATTCCGCTTCTCTGCCGCATCACGGCATCGTGCGGATGGCCGCGGGCGTTATCAGCCTCCGGCGCACAATCGCCGGGGAATCACCACAGCCCAGTCCGCCCCATGACCGCCCCCTTCGCCGCTTCCACTTTCTTAATTGGACTGCCGGCCACACGCTGGGCTAACACAGACTTGAGTTTCCAGAGTCGGTTGGCAAATCACGCCTGTCAATCAGCCAGTCTCCTAGGCTACTGCGTCCCTCGTAATTAGCTTTGGGGAGAGGCTTGAGGACCCCTGAAGGTTGAATGGGTGGCTGAGTAGGTGCCTGAATGGAGATCTCGCCGGAGGAAAGCCTTCCCGACGCCTATGGAAGCTTCCCAAGCAGGGGGAAACTTTTCAAACTGTCGGGCGGAGAGCATCAGGCCCAAGCTCGGAAGCAGACGGCTGCCGCAGCAGGAACTGGACGCGCGCTGTCGTGGCACCCCACGCCCCATCCCCCGCCGCCGACGCCTCCAGGAGCGGACGTTCCACCAGTCACGTCCCCGGGCGGCCCGCCGCGCGCAGCTGCGGGCACGCGTGGCGTACGTAGCTTGGCCCTCAGGCTGGAGGTGATGTGGAGTGGCGGAAAAGCTCTCGTCTCTAGGGCACACGTTTACCACCGATTAGGTCAAACTGGATGTTTACTGTACAGTTAGAAAGTTTGACGAGCCAAGCGTGAAGGCGCAGGCCTGCAACCCTAGTATTCAGGAGGCAAAGGCTGGGGGATAGCCCACGAGCTGGAGGCCAGCCTGGGCTACATAGCCGGCCTCTGTCCCCAAAATAAAAAACCCAAACAACAAAAAATTGTTTGAAGGCAGCGCTCTCTGAAGCGGAGGGAGGGCAAATTTTGAGCAAATGCGTGGCCCCTGGGCTCTCCAGGAAACCGTTTGCCTCAGGACGAAATCAACCTCTGCCTGGAGTTTGAGGCCTGTTCCACACACTGAACTGCAGCCTTTCCAGTGCCCCACCAGATCTACAAACATCCCCGTCCCTCCTGACCTTTGCCCAGGCTGTGTCTGCCGCCTGGAATGCTCGTCCATCCACCGTGCCCTTTGCTCAGTTCATCTTTTGTATTTTAGCTCCCCCAGATTTGTAAAATTCCCCAGTTTGTAAAATTGGGTAACAGTACCCACCTATTATAAGGGGGTCCCTGAGAGTGCCATGAAGGGCAAGCAGAGGGACTGCTGATCTGGAGGCTGGGCCTCCATTTCCCAACCCTGTAAACAGGGTGGCACCTGTCTCTTGGAAAGGGGACTGTGTGGTAATTCGGCAAGGCCATGCCCGCAGGGCCTCTGGGGTGGGAAGCCAGGAAACTAGGACTCTGGCTACTCTCCCTAGCAACAGGCAGTCTTGAGAGGGAAACAGGGCAGGCAAACTGTTGTACCTGGTGCAGCTGGATGAGCCCAGGTGAAGAAGTCAGGGTGGGAGGGCAGCTACAGGTAGTAAGCAGGTGATGTGGGCAAGGCAAGACCAGCTGACCTGCAACTCTGGTGGAATCCTGACTGGCCATGCTGTGTGAACACCAGGGTGGGTCCCTTACCTGAGCCAAGAGGTATGAAGCTCTCCAGAAGCCTCCAAGCTACTTACTGGTCATTGCCGTACCCAGAAAGGCCCCCCAGAAACTACCTACAAACCAGCTCTGCCCAGCTAGGCAAGGAGGACTCTCCTCCAAGTCCTCTCCTGTGGCCTCTCCTATCCCAGGCTACTGCGGTGTGCTTTGCCTGGCAGCCATGCTCTTGAGCCAGCCAGGCTGCTGTGTTGAACTGCAAAGGCCAAAGCACTTTCTAGGCTCCAAGAGCAGTTTCCCAGTTACAACAGCCTCACTGGATTATTTTGAGGATTAAAAAAGTTAGTTTTCCACAGTGAAACACAGGTAAAAACCTGATAAAACTAGTTGTTCTTGTTTACATTTTTTGTTTGAGACAAGGTTTGCTGTATAACTAAGGATGCCTTTAAACTCTGGATCCTCCTGCCTTTGTCTCCCAAAATTACCTTTTTGTGGGTATGTGTGTGTGTACATGCATACATGTGTCTGAGGACAACCTTGGATGTCATCCTCAGGCACCATCTACCTTATTTTTAAAAAGATATTTATTATTATTATTATTATTGAGACAGGGTCTCCCTGTAGCCCCAGCTGGCCTGGAACTCTCTATGTAGACCATGCTGGCCTCAAACTCACAAAGATCCTCCAGCCTCTGCCTCCTGAGTGCTAGTATTAAAGGTGTATGCCACCATACCCGGCCTAAAAATATTGTTATTTTTAGGGCTGGAGAGATGGCTCAGCGGCTAAGAGCACTGACTGCTCTTGCAGAGGATTTGGGTTTGAGTCCCAGCACCCACATGGTGGCTACGAACTGTCCTTAACTCCAGTTCCAGGGGAATCCGAAGCCCTCTTCTGACCTCTGTGGCATTGCACAACATGGGTGCACTCACATACATGCAGGCAATACACTCATATACATAAAAAAATAATAACATATTTTTTAAAATATTTTTTTAATTTGTAGGGTTGGAGAGATGGCTCAGTGGTTGGAGAGATGGCTCAGCTGACTGTTCTTGCAGAAGACCCGGGTTCAAATCCCAGCACCTACATGGCAGTTAACAACTGTCCGTAACTCCAGTCCCAGGGGATCCGACAACCTCTTCTGTCCTCTGCGGGCATTGCATGACATGGGTGCACTTACCTACATGCAGGCAATACATTCATACACATAAAATAAAAATAATTAAAAAAAACAAACAAAAAATATATTTTTTTAAAATTTGTGTTTGTGTGAGCCTGCACATGTGCATGTGAGTACAATGTTGTAGTTACAGTCTGCTATGAGCTGACTGACATGGGTGCTGGGAATTGAATTCAGGTTCTCTGGAAGAACAGTCATGCTCTTAACCAGAGTGACCTCTCTAGCTCCTTCCTACCTTATTTCTGAGACTGGGTCTCTCACTGGTTAGAACTTGCCAACTACGCTACCCTGGCTGGCCAGTGAGCCCAGGAATCTTCCTGTCTCTGCCTTCCCAGCTCTAGGATTGTAAGTGTCCTCCACTACACCCAGCTTTTTTTTTTAACTTAGGTTCTAGGGATTGAACTCAGGTTTATCAATTGAGCCATCTCTCAAGCCCCTAAAATAACCTTTTAAAACAGTGTAGAGCTGGAGAGGTGGTGTAGTTAGTAGAGTACTTCCCATGCAAGCATGAAGACCTGAGCTCAGATCCCCAGCACCCATGTAAAAAAGCTGGGTGCTGGTAGCACACAGCTTTAACCTCAGCACTGAGCAGGGACAGAGACAGCCAAATCCCTAGAGTTCATTAGACAGGTAGTCAAATTGATGAGCTCCATGTTCAGTGGGAGACCTTGTCTCACAAAATGCAGGTAGAGAGCAATCGGGGAAGACATTTGACATCAACCTCTGGCCTCCATGTTCTTACATGTGCACATACATCACTGCACATACAGAAACAATGTTTGAGTCTCTTCCCCCAGACATCCATTCACATCCTATGCTGGACATATTGATGACCATTTAGCAAGGCTCAGAGAGGGCAAATAATTTTCAGGACACACAGCTAAACAATAAACAGGTGGAGTTTGAACACAGGCCTTTCTGGATCTCCAGTGTGAGAGAGTTCCCTTAAGAGGCTAATAGTGGGTCCAGGACAGGAGTAGGCAAACCTGAGCAAGGGGGAGTAGAGGTGTGTTAACTAGGAATCAAGTCAAGCCCAGTCCCTTGTTCCACATGGGGTCAGCAATGAGGTAATTTTGGTTATTTTTTCAGTGCCTCAATCATGGTGCACCCTGCTGTACTATCCCAAGCCCCATCTTTGTAAACTGGAAGAGCTAACAAAAGCTTTTGGGGCAAGTGCTTACAAAATGGTCATCAATATGTCCAGCATAGAATGTGAATGGATGTCTGGGGGAGAGACTCAAACATCGTTTCTGTGTGTATGTGCATTCATGTGAGTATGTACACATGTAAGAAGTTGAGTTTACTGCCTCTGACAGTAGTTTCATATCAGGCTGGAGTGTCCTCTGTCCTGGGCCTCACCACATCAACCTGCATGCATGTCTTTCTGTGCCTTGACCTCTGTAGGGATCCAGTTTGGTTTTCTAAGTGTCTGGGTGCACACAGGCTCTGACACTTGCCACCCAGCCTCTCTCCACCTCCTATAGGAGGACTCTAACCCCTGATGCCAGCACAGACTCCACAGAACAGGGCCCCAAGGTCTGGTATCCAGTGCTGAATAACAAACACCTCTAGCCTTGTACTAGTCACCTCTCCAGTTCACAGATTTGGTCTGGCCAGAGCTCAGCTAGGAGCTCTGTCCAGCTCCACCTCAAAAGTCACTTCCAGAGGTTTCTGTCAGATAGTGGTATACTTGGGTTCAAAAACCCAAGAAGTACCTCTGCTTTCTTTTCTTGCCATGTCGTCTCTCCCTGAGCCTCAGAGGTTTCAAGATAAAAATAGTGAACTAGCAGGCCACACACACGTGACCCCAAGATTTTGGGCAATGGAGGAGCAGATAGGTGATCTGAGTCTGTCTCACTCTGATCCTGTTGCTTTCTGAGGCCCAAACTGAGACAGTGCAGTGATTGATATCGTCAATTCTATAGGATCTAGGATCACCCAGAAGACAAGCTTTTAGGCATGTGGGTGAGGGATTATCTATTAATTGAGGTAGGAGGACCTACCTGGATATGGGCAGCACCATTCCAGAAGGCAGGGATCCTGGACCAAAAAAGGAGAAAGTGAGCTCAGCATCAACATTCATCTCCCTCTGCTTCCTGACTGTGACTATAAGGGAACCAGGTGCCTGAGCGCCTGCTGCTAGGACTTCCTACCATGGACTGCACCCTGGAAATCTGAGCAAAATAAATCCTTAAGTTGCTTTTCTCAGATATTTTGTCACAGCAACAACAGAAGTAACTACTGCAGCCCATGCCAGGGCTAAGGAACCCCAGATGAGCCACCTGAACCTCAGCCCTCATGCAGTGTGGATACAAATACTCCTTGCCTGCTTCCCGCCCCATGGGGAAAGCCAGCCCCAGGAAGTGGCACAAAGTGAGACAGCCTTGGAGTAAGTTCATCAAGGGCTTTCTTTCTTTCTTTCTTTCTTTCTTTCTTTCTTTCTTTCTTTCTTTCTTTCTTTCATTTTTTTGGTCTTTTTAAGACAGGGTTGCCCTGTAGCCCCAGCTGTTCTGGAACTCACTATGTAGACCAGGCTGGCCTTGAATTCACAGAGATCTACCTGCCACTGCCTCCTGAGTGCTGGGACTAAAGGTGTGCACCACCACGCCCAGCCAAGGGCTCTTTCTTGACACTCTGTAGCATCCTGGCTCATCAAGCCTCACAATCTGAGACTTCCAAAATATCTCCCAAGTTGTTAACTTCTCATCCCTGGGTCCATGCTATAGTTTTCCAGGTTCTAGGCCTGAGGTGGCCTTCCCTCAGATGTTCCTGCTCCTTGCCCCCTGGTCGGAAGGGCATCAGATCTACTCCCACTGGAAAGCCATCCAGGCTCTTTTGGTTCTTGGGATGAAGTCCTGTGTTCACAACAGATCTGAGCCCAAGCCAACCTTGCCAGCCCTTTCAGTACCAAGGCCATCTGTACCCAGGGATATCACCTCAGGCCATATGAGTTAGGACCTGGTCTTATCACCTGGCTGGCTCCCACTCCTGGGGCTTCTCCTGGTTCATAGTTAGCCAATATACAGCAGCTTCCAGGGCCTGACAAGGTACTGAATCTGAATGAATCTCAAACACTTCCTCTGATGTCACGGCTCCACCTGCCAGCCTGGCTTCAGCTCCCAAGCCTCTGTACTTTCCACCAACTCCCAGCGCTAGCACTTTCCATCCACATCCCTTCATGTATTTATGTTTGAGGTTTTTTTGAGACAGGGTCTTGCTATGTTGCCCAGGTTGGCCTTGAACTCAAAGCAATCTTCCTGACTCAGCCTCTTGAGTACTGGGATGACCAGTGTATGCCATAATACCCAGCTTTTATTCATTTATCCTTTCATTTGTATGACAAATATTTTTGAAAGGTCCTACTCTGCATTAGGCTTCATTCTAGGCCTTCCACCTACAGATCCATCGGGAAACTCATACAGTTTTCTTCAGAATGTTTATCCCTCTCCCATCTATTCTTGGCAAACTCTTACTCATCCTTCAGTACCCAACCATAATATACCAGTGGGAAGTTCTTTCCCATCCTTTTCAGCCCCCAGCCCTGAGATGGAACTTCTCCTCTCTCTACTGCCCCCATTCTTTTTTTAAAAATATTTTTATTTATTTTTAATTTTATCTGTATGAGTGTTTTGCTTGCATTTATGTTAAGTGCACCATGTATGTGCCTGATGCCTGGAGCCTGCAGAGGCCAGAAGATGGCATAAGTGCCCCTGGAACTAGTTAGCTGCCATGTGGGTGCTGGGAACCAAACTCAGGTCCTTTGGAAGAGCAGTAAGTGCTCTTAACCATCTAAGCCATCTCTCCAGTCCCATCTCTTTTACCCCATTCTTGAACCTTGTGTGAGTCACTCAGCTGTTGGAGGCTACAGTTGAGGCTACCCAAGGATTGTCGGGTGAACTCGACAGGGGCCTTACTCCTTAGGGAGGGGTAAGGGCAGATATATCTGCATGAAATACTGCTCATCACAATAGTTGGGCATGTCTGTGCCTCTAACATCCTCCTCAGGCTTGCTTTCTAGCGACCAAGCAACTCCACAGAAGCATGGCTGCCAAGCATACCTTTTATTTGCATAGAAATTACTAGGGGTCACAGGTCCAGGTTGAGGCCCAGCACAAGGTAGGAGCATCTGATGAGGGCAATGGAGGGCTGGGTGTGAAGCTGGAGCACAAGCTTCTGAGTGTCTGGCCTGGAGGAGACCAAAGGCAGAGCCCAGGGCATCGAGACTACTGATGTCAGGCTTGCCTTCTTCCTCACTGTACCTTGGGGCCAGCCTTTGAAAATTACTTCTGCTAGCTAATCCTTAGCTGCATGCTGTGAGTCTATCCAAGTTCCAGATAGGTTCTCTTGGGTTCATGGGGTTTTTTTCCTCCTGTCTCCTTTGGTCTCCTTCAAGGTTCTGGCCCCTCCTAGGGCTCACTGGTCTAGAGAGGCCCAGCAACTACCCTCGGGCCACAGAAGTCTTCTGTCAGGAGGGCAGGGCCATGTCAGAGCAGGGTGATCTCACTGGGGGGCAATGTAAGCCGTTCTTCCCGAGCACTGAGCATGGTCTCCACATGCATGGCCACCACACGACACAGCTCCAGACCCTGTAAGAAACACATTACGTCCAAGCCTCTTAACTCTCATCCCAGGGCAGAACCTGCAGAATGGTGATATATTTGGGAAGAGTAAAGGCCACAACCCATATGGAGACCTTTGTCCCTACCTCCCTCTGGAAGATCTAGTGGGTAATAGGCCAGAAAGGACAGCAAGGCCCAGGCAGGCAACTGAATACATCGGATGCCAGCTTGCTGCCTGTGTGCTGTGCAATACAGGGTCACTTACTATACTTCTCTGAGCCTCAGCGGTCTTATCTGTAGAGTCTCAGTTTACCAGACCCTGCCTGGCAGAGTTGTGGAGGACTTAGATTGGATTTTATTACATGTAAATCCTTTACATTTTAAAAATAATCTGTGGGGACCAGAACATGGTTCACATATGATGTTTGCCTAACATGTATGAGGCCCTGGTGCCATCCTAGCACTATCCCCCCCCACACACAAATTATTCCAATAAATGGTAAGATGTGTTGCCATTGTTACCTTTAGTACCCTGCCACCTGGAAGAGATGGCTGAAGGAAGGCCTCAGAGAATTGTGGAACATCATCATCTGTGTGATTCTCAGACTAAAGCTGAATCTGAATCTCAGGGAGGCTTTCTGAGTGACACAGATGCCAGACAAAGCAGTGGTAACAGTACTTCCTGGTCATGGATTGTGCCAGGCCTGTCCCAAGAGCTCTGTGAGAAATTCCTGCAGTGACCCAAAGAGCACTGTCCCATCCCCAGGTGAGGAAACAGAGGCCCAGGGTGTGATATGTTCACCTTAGACCTCACAGTGGTGGGGTTTGAAACTCGAGAGGCCACACTCTGAACTGCCCTTTGCTGAGGTGAGCGGTGACCACTGCCCTGTGGCTATCCCAGCTAAGATCGGGGCTCCTCTTGTTATGGTGTGGATAGGAAGTGTCTCCCCAAAAGCTCATGGATTGGAGGCTTGGTCTCAGCAGGTGGATCCTGTCATTGAGAGGAGGTCCAATCCTGGGGATTCTAGTCTTATCAGTGGGAAAATCCATTGCTGGATTCATTTGACATTATTGGGAAATAGGAGGTTAGACCTGGTTGGGAAGTAGACCTCTATAAGCATGCTTTTGAAGGGTATCTTGTTTCTGGGCTCTCTGGTCTGGTGCTTTGTCTCTCCTCCCCTGCCACTATGAGATCAGCTGCATTCCTCTGCTGTGTCCTTCTGCCATGATGTTTCTTTCTTATTACAGGCCTAAAAGCAATGGAGTCAGCTAACCAGGGACTAAAATCTCTAAAACCTGAGTCAAAACCAACCTTTCTGGGGCTAGAGAGATGGCTCAGAGGTAAGAACACCAGCTGCTCTTGCAGAGGACCCTGGTTCAATTCCTAGCACCCACATGGCAGCTAACAACCATCTGTAACTCCAGTCACAGGGGAATCCAACACCATATTCTAAACTCCGTGGGTATTGCATGACACAGGTGCACTTACACACATGCAGGCAATACACTCATACACATTAAAAAAAAACCCAACAACCTTTCCTCCCTTAAGTTATTTGCCAAGTGGTAGAAAGCAGACCAACACAGCTCCCTTCCAGCCAATCTTTTGCATACTCACAGGCTGCTGTGTTCATGCCCAGCTTAACAGGCATGGAGACTGAGGCTCAAAGGTAAGGAGGGATGCCTTAAGAGCCCCTTGCACAACCTGTCAGAGGCTGCAATGCTATACACTCAGAAATCATTTCCTTCTGTGGACCCTCCCCAATTGCCTCCTGTATAGATCAGGTCTCCTGTGTGCCCTCCCAGCATGGATCATGGTGCATAGATAGATTCTTCCAAATCTGAGGCTTGGGGCTCTGAGGGCCAAGATAGCAAAGGTCTCAGTCACATCTATCAGAGCCTGCTCTTCAGAGATACTCAGTGACTATGTGTTGAAGGAGTGAGTGAATGATGCATCTCTCTACATATACAGGGCAGGGACAGCTGCTTTCATACAGGAGGGGGCTGCAAGGAACTGGAGAAGCCAGAAAGGTTTTCATCCATCCATCCACGCACCTACCTCCCACTCATTGATCCATCTTCCCCTGACACTCATCAACCTACCCATCCATACATTAATCCATCCATCTGTCAATCCAACAAATACACATTGAACATATACTATGTGCCAGGCACTGTGCTGTGGGCACGGTGCAAATAAGATGGATACAGTCTTCCTGGAGCTGATGTTCTGGGTGAGGAGGCAGTCAACATGAAGATACCTAAACTATGTAAACAATGCTGAGAGTCACAGAGGCAGCAGAATTGGTAAGTCATTAGGGAAAAGGGTCAAGGAAAGAAAGAAGGGCTTTTGTGATGAAAGCCAAATAAAGGGAGGAAACCTTGTGAGGAATATGGGAAGAAGGAACATTTTAGGTAGAACAGTGAGTGCAAAGGACATGGGGCATGGAGGGGAGGATGAGCTCAGCACAGGGGGGCTGTAAGATTGGAGTGATTGAGCAGGGAGAGGGAGAGAGGGGAGGCTACAAAGGTTGATAGAGAGCAGCCTGGGATAGAAGGATGGCAAGGACAGTGGGAAAAGCCTGGTAGTCTTCCAAGGAGCTGTGGAGGGAGCCAACCAGGTCAGGCTACAGCAGGAAATGGAAGTATGTGGCTGTCACAAGGGATATGGTTTTGAAAGCCTTGGGGTCAGACAGTGTGCTGGGAAAGGAGTCAAAGATGGGGCACGGAGCAGGTAAAGGAGGGAGGGTAAGAGAATACAGGGGGGTAGGCACAGCACTCAAGGCTGCCAGAGGAGGATGGGCAGCAGGAACAAAGTGGAATGTGGTGGGACGAGGGCCAAGGAGTTGGTTCTCGGTCACTTTATTCTGGTTCTTCCCTCAGCAGCAGAGCTGATGTAGTGGAAGCTTCCTCTCTTCCTAACGACTCAGCTTTCCAAGGCAGACCCTGGGCCCAGTCTCACAGGGGAGGTGGCAGGCTAGAAAGGGCAAACAGTTTGCCCCTCTCTGACTCGGTCCCATCTTGGGAGATGAAAACTCTGCTCTGTCCTGCCCCTGGGGACCGTGATATTTGGCCAGGAGGTAGAGATCCTTCATATCTTTAAGGAGCAGCCACAGTAGAGAAGTCACATGGCAGATGGGTCTCAGGTTCTCTGAGTGTCCCAAGGAAGTTTATTTACCCTGATTCTAATCCCAGGCCCCACAGTCTAGTTCCCAAGTCTTAGCTTAGTTCAGGTAAGCCTTGTTAGACCTTCTGTATCAAACATCCTGTACCTTCTATTGTTCTCTTGTGCCCTCAGAAGAGTCTCAGAGTCTCAACTTTTTTTTTTTCTAGACAGAGTCTCTAGCCCAGACTGGCTCCAAATTCATTTCATAGCTGAAGATGACTTGAACTTGAGATCCTCTTGCTTACCTTCTGAGAGTGCTGGGATTACAGATCCCATATTTGGTTTTGTGTGAGACCAGGAATCAAACCCAGGGCCTTATGTATGCTAGGCAAGGGACCAACTGAGCTATATCCCCCAGCCCCCAGATCCTCATTTTATCACTGAGAGTACTCTAAGACCTCCCTCTCCTTGGTGGTATCTTCCCAGTACCCCACCAAATGCCTCACTGTTCTGAAAACAACCTGGATCCTTCTCTACTGCTAGGTATGCTGCTAAATTGCTTTCCTGGAAGGCCTTCAGGGTAGCTCACAGCTCTGTTCCCTACATTGGGTTGGATACCCCCTGGGGCATAGCCCAGACCAGAGAAGAGTCCAATGTGTAGAATGAGGGAACTAGAGCCTGGGTGACAGGCCTGTCTGGTGGGACCAGGCTCACCTGCTCCAGCTGAAGCTGCATGGTACGCTGGGTTGCCATATCCCCCAGTGCGATCTCCACATAGGGGTAACTGGAATTGGCTGTGGGCCGCTGAGTCCGTGTGGACTGGATCTCCTTCAGGGAAGTTTTCATCATTAGCTCCTGGGGTTGGAGAGAGAGGAGTCAGACAGGCATGAGGGTAGGGACAGTCTCCACCAGCCAACCCTTCCCCTACAAGTCATGTCAAAAACAGGAGGCCCATTCCCCAGACACTAGCTTTGTCAAGTGGAGCAAATAATCTGACCACTCTGGATCTGTTTCCTTACTTGGGAAACGGATTCAATAAATACTGATGCTGAGTGTTTAGGATATGGGGGTAGTGGGTACCCTGACTTTTACTTCTGGGAACACCTACACCCTTTTATCAAGGAGCTTCATTTCCAGGTCCCTATGTAGAGAAAGGTAGCATGATGGAGATGCAGAGTGAGGAGTCATGGCAGCTCCTCACCTCAGGAGAGAAGGTGTACCCAAAGAGCATGTTCTGTGCTATCTCCCAGGGTCCCCAGATGGACTGATCAGTCACTGTATGCTGGTGCTTCTCATGGTGGTAACACACCTGTATTATCTCTGCCCCTTCCCTGCCCTACTTCCTTCTTTCAGTGTCTCCTAGACTCACTTTCAAGCAAACCTCTCGTCCCCAAGCCCTATCTCAGGTTCTGTTTCTAGAAGGAGGAACTAAGAAAAGGGGTGGCAAGTTCTGCTTATAGGGAGCTATATAAAGCTCTAGGCCACAGTACCTTGAATCTTATTGTATTTTGTTTTTTGTTTTTTTGGTCTTTTTGAAACAGGGTCTCCCTGTAGCTACAGATGGCCTGGAACTCACTCTGTAGACCTTGATCTCACAGAGGTTCATCTGCCTCCGCCTCCTGAGTTTTGGGACTAAAGGTGTGTGCCACCACACCCTGCTGACTATATTTGGAGTTAGGACCTCCAATAAAGAGGTGATTAAGGAGCCAGGGATACATCTCAGGGATAGAGTGCTTGCCTAGTATAGGGACCCAGCGTTCCATCTTCAGTATCATAAAATAGAGAAGTAAAAGACAGATGTGGTGGCACATGCCTGTAATTCTAGCACTTACAAAGCTGAGCCAGGAGAATTGTTGGAGGCCAGCCTGGGTTACATATTGATACTCTGCCTCAAAACAACAAGAAAGAAGAAAAGGAAGGGAAGAAAGAAAGGAAAGAAAGAAAAGGAAAAAGAGTGAGAAAGAAAGGCAGAAAAGAAAGGTGAATCAGTTAAAATGAAGCCACTAGGGTGGGCTTAGTTGCAGCATGAGTGATGTCCTTATAAGAAGAGCAAAGTTGAGCCAGGTGTGGTGATCCACATCTTTAATCCTGGCACTTGAGAGGCAGATGCAGGCAGATTTCTGTGAGTTCCAGGCTGGTATAGCTGGGACTATAGAGAAACCCTGTCTTAAAGAAACAAAATGAAAAATAAAAAGAAAGAAAAGGAAGGAAGGAAGGAAGGAAGGAAGGAAGGAAGGAAGGAAGGAAGGAAGGAAGGAAGGAAGGAAAAGAAAACAGAGGAAAGTTGGGTACACAGACTCCAGGGATGTGCCTATACAGAAAGGCTATGAGGCCATGTGAGGATGAGGTCATGGTCTACAAACCAAGGAGAGGCTAAAGCTACCAAGCTGCTGAAGTCTTGCATTGCATAAGCTGCCCAGACTGTGAGGTTTGGCTCTGGCAGCCTGAGCAGCCTAACACAATACATTAGAATGTGTTTTCCTACCTGTCCCTCCACATAGCCTGGGAGCTGGGGGTCAGACTTCTATTATTATACCCATTTTCCAAATGAGGAATGCAAAGCTTTAACAGAGAAGGAACTGACTGGAGACCATGTGGGAGGTAAATGTGAGGCTGGCAATCTTGGTCCCCAAGAGCAAGTGGAGGACCAGAGGACAGAAGGAATGGGACACGTGGGCCACCAGGGACAGAAGGAACAGGGGACAGGTGGGCAGGGCTGGGCAGAGGCCACTCACTCACATGGGTCTTGGTGCTGAGGAAGTTGAGGCCATTATGGTTGACAGCGAGGATGCTGGGGGCTGGCACTGTGGTGATGCTGCAGCTCTGGATGAAGAAGAAGGAGGAGCCAAACATGGGAAAGGCACTGAGGAGGCCTACAGTGGGGAGAAGTTGTTAGCAGGATCATCCATGCATAAATGGATAGCCACGGCCCTGAGCTGCCAGGCTTCCTGCAAGCCCTACCTTCTGATTTTGTCTCCTATCTCTCTGTACCCCTCCTGGCTTCTTCAGCACCCCAACTCCTAGTTCCTTCAGTTCTAACTCTCTGCCCAAGGTCACTTTCCACCCAGATGATGCCTTTGGAAAAGTGGTAAAAAGTCTTTTTTCTAGCCAGGTAGGCAGCTTGGCTGCCACCAAAAATGCTTTTGTGCAAAGAAAATGATTTCTCTATTCCCCCTCCTCCTGGCTGCCCTCAACATAGCTCCCTTTGATGTCTCCAGCCCTCTTCCCAGCTCTCACCCAGGAACTGAGCACGGGCCTGGTGGGGGCTGAGTGCCTGTGTCTGCTGCCGGTGCTGGCTGACCAGGTTGAGCCAGGTGTCGCTGGCTGTGGTGTGGTAGAGCTGGGCTGGGATGTATTCTTGGACTTCCCTCCTGTGTGCAGAGTACAGGGCTTGTGAGCACCCACAGCTTGATCCTCACTATGTATCACCTATGACACCAAGCAGACATCACTGCCACACTGCTCTAGGAGGCCAAATGTAGGGAAGAGAAATATGGAGTCCCTATTTGTAGTTGAGGGAGCTGAGACTCTGCTCTGAGAGGTTCATCAAGAGGTCCAAGAACACACAGTGACTAAATGAAGGGGTCATATGAAAAAGGTGTGAATCCAGATTAGATTTCTTAGTTCCTGCCCCCAAGGAGAAGGTCAAGACAAAGGTGAGGAGACATCCAGGTGCACAAAGAAGGAACCTTGGGGCTGAGTCCCCAGGGCCATCAACTACCACCCCCCCACTTCCATTTCAGCTCTCTGCTCTGACTGCATACAGGCTGGCTTAGCGCAGGCCTTTTTGCCTCTTGAGCCATGTATAAAATAGCAGCAGCAGTCTCAGCCCAGCCCACTCCAGCTGCCCTGGGCTGCAGATGGGGAAAGGGCTGGAAGAAGTAGGGGAGCCCCTTCCCCTCCCAGAGTAACAACTGGGTAACACCAGTCCTTCTCTGCCCTGCTGGGGTAAGCTGGGCATTTTTGAACAAGTTTCTTAGGTTTGGATCCTGGTACCCTCCCCCCCAACTACTAGCCCTATAACTTCTCTGGGCCTCAGTTTTTGCATCTGTGAAAGGGGAAAATGAGTGGCTGAGGAAATAACATGCTAATACATATGTGGAATACCTTTTAAAAGGAAGGTACAGTAGTACAAGCACCTGTAGTGTAGTGTAGTCCCAGCACTTGGGAGACTATACTGAAGCTAGGAGTTCCACATGGGAAACAAAGAAACTATCTAAAGCGGGTGGGGGATGCTGGAGAGATGGCTTAGTGGTTTAAAGCACTGGCTGTTCATCCAGAGGACCCAGGTTCAGTTCCCAGCACCCACATGGTGGTTAACAACCTGTAACTCCAGTTCCAGAGGATCCCAACTTTGCATAGCATGGGTGCACTTACATACATGCAGACAAAACACTCAAACATATGATTTTTTTTTTTTGAGACAGGGTCTCCCTGTAGCCCCAGTTGGCCTGGAACTCACTATGTAGACCAGATTGGCCTTGAACTCAAGAGATCCATCTGCCTCTGCCTCCTGAGTGCTGGGATTAAAGGTGTGTGCCACCATGCCTGGCTCATAATTTTTTTTAAAAAAGATAAAAATTCAATTGTATTCAGGAGTGGGATGATACTATTGTGTGTATGTATGTATATGTACATATACGTATACATATTGTGTATGTGTGTGTGTATGCCTGGTTGCATGCACATGGGTATGGAGGTCAGCCATAAATGTTGGGTGTCTTTCTCAATTGCTTTTCCAATTATTTTTTTTTGTTCAGTGAGACTCTCACTGAACCTGGAGCTCACTGATTGCCTGGGCTGGCTGACCAGCAAGCTCCAGAGATCCTCCTGTCTCCACCTCCCCAGTGCGGGAATTTCAGGCTCATGCCACCATGCCCAGTTTTTTATGTGGGAGCTGGGGCTCAAACTCAGGTCCTCATGCTTGTGCTTTTATATATTATGGACTGAGCCATCTCACTCGTCCCTAGGATTATACTTTTAAGGGTTTCCTACTCTTTTTAAAATTTTTTAAAATTATTTTTATTTTATGTTTATGAGTGTATTGCTTGCATGTGTGTAAGTGTACCTGTGTTGTGCAATGCCTGTGGAGGTCAGAGGAGGGTACTGAATGCCCTGGAACTGGAGTTAGGACAGTTGTTAGCTGCAATGTAGGTGCTGGAAATTGAACCTGGGGCCCCTGCAAGAGCAGTCAGAGCTCTTAACCGCTGAGCCAACCCTCTCCCATAAGGGTTTCCTACTCTTGTTTACAATTATTCCATAAAAACTGCCCTGTGGTGTGGGTGTGGTGGCTCAGACCTGTAAAAGTTAGCACTTGGAAGGTGAAGGTAGGATCAGGAGTTCAAGTTCAAGGTCATCTTTGGGCTAATAGTGAGTTTGAGACCAGCCTGAGCTACATGTTGAAAAAAAAAAAAAGCCAGGCATGGTGGCACATGCCTTTAATCCCAGCACTTGGGAGGCAGAGGCAGGCAGATATCTGTGAGTTCAAGGCCAGTCTGCTCTAGATAGTGAGTTCCAGGACAGCTGGGGCTACAGGGAGACCCTGTCTTAAAAAGACAAAAAAAAAAAGAAAAGGAAAGAAAGAAAAAGAAAGAAAGAATAAAGAAAGAAAGAAAGAAAGAAAGAAAGAAAGAAAGAAAGAAAAGAGAAAGAAAGAAAAGCACGTTGAGCATTTGGCCCTTAGAAAATTAGAGGTAGTAGATAAACTCGGCAAAGATAGAACCTTACTGTTGTTCACACAAGGCTTCTCAAAGTGTGATCCAGGGGCTCTGAGGCCATAGCCATTTTCATAATGAAGCCAACATTTCAGTTGACTTTTCCCTTCCTCTCCTCTCACAAGTAAACTAAGAAGCTTCCCGCAGGTTGCAGGACAGATGAGATGGCAGCAGACTGAGGGCAGGTGAAGGGGCCTGGGAAGGGAGAAGGCTTTGCATACTTCAGACGATGGTCTTCTCACTCAGCACTGTGGTTCGTGTTGATCAAATGCTACTTGGATTAACATGCAGCTTTATTCTTTTCTTAAATAAACTGATGAGCCATGTATTTCTTTTTTTTTTCTTTTTTGTTTGTTTTTTGAGACAGGGTCTCCCTGTAGCCCCAGCTGACCTGGAACTTACCATGTAGACCAGGCTGGCCTCGATCTCACAGAGATCTGCCTGCCTCTGTCTCCTAAGTGCTGGGATTAAGGTATGCACGACTATGCTTGGCTTTTTATTTATTTTTTTAATTTCAAATTTAAAAAAGTATATTTTTATTTATTATTATTTTATGTGTATGAGTGTATTGCCTGCCTGTATGCGAGTGCACCTGTTGTGCAATGTCGCGGTGGAACTGGAGTTAAGGATGGTTCACAGCCGCCATGTGGGTGCTGGGAATCGAACCCAGGTCCCCTGCAAGAGCAGTTAGTGCTCTTAACCACTGAGTCATCTCTCCAGCCCCTTATTTTAAAATTTCTTTAAAAATTTTATTTATTTTTTAATTTTATGTGTATGTGTGTATTGCCTGCACGTAGGCGAGTGCACCCATGCTGTGCAATGCCCATGGAGGTCAGAAGAGGCTGTCAGATCCCCTGGGACTGGAGTTACAGACAGTTGTTAGCTGCCATGTGGGTGCTGGGATTCAAACCCAGATCTTCTGCAAGAACAATCAGTGTTCTTAACCACTGAGCCATCTCTCCAGCTACCTACTTTAAAATTAAAAAAAAATTATTTAAAAAAATTTATCTATAGGGGTTGGGCACACCTTTAATCCCATGACTCGGGAGGCAGAGGCAGGTAAATTTCCATGAGTTCAAGTCCAACCTGGTCTACACAGTGAGTTCCAGGTCATCTGGGGCTGCAGAGAGACCCTGTCTCAAAAAGACAAAAAAAATTATGAGTGTTTTTCCTGCATGTATGTAAATTTACCATGTGTGTGCATTGCCCTTGGAGGCCAGAAGAAGGTGTCAGATCCCCTGGAACTGGAGCTATAAACTGTTGTTAGCTGCCATGTGGGTGCTGGAAACAGAACCCAGGTCCTCTGGAAGAACAGCAGATGCTCTTAACTGCTGACCTATCATCTCTTCAGGCTTTTTGCTTTGTTTTTTGAGATGGGGTCCTCACTTTCTTGTCCAGGCTGCCTGGCCTTGAATTCCTGGGCTTAAGTGATGCTCCTGCTTCAGCCTCCTGAGTAGTGGGAAGTATAGGCGGGCCCATCATGTTCAGCTTTATTTGGAGGGGGTTTATTTATTTTTATGCATATATGTGATTTGCCTGCGTGTGTGCAATGCCCATAGAGGCCAGAAGAGGGTGTCAGATTCCCCTAAAACTGGAGTTACACATGGTTAACTGCTGAGTGGGTCCTGGGAATCAAACCTGGGTCCTCTGCAAAAGCAGTTAGCGCTCTTAAATGCTAAGCCATCTCTCCAGCTTCCCATGCTTAGCTTAAATTTATGATAAAATTTTTTTTTGGTTGGGCTTGGTGGCACACACCTTTAATCCCAGCACTCGGGAGGCAGAGGCAGGCGGATCTCTGTGAGTTCAAGGCCAGCCTGGTCTACATAGTGAGTTCCAGGACAGCTGGGGCTACAGGGAGACCCTGTCTCAAAAAAAAAAAAATCAAAACAAAAAAAATTTGGAGGGCGGTGGTAGGGTCTCACTATGTAGCCTGGCTGGCCTGGTACTCACAACAATTCTCAGACTACAGGGGTGAGCTACCACACCTGACTCAATGAATGTTTATGTAGCTAAATCTGCATAGTCATATGTGTGTGTGTGTGTGTGTGTGTGTGTATTTCCTAGCCTAAGGGTAGTATGTCTTGAAAGCTTTCTTTAATCATTAGATTTGTTCTGAGCTATTAAACAACATGTGGGAGAGAATGGGGGTCCCAGCTCCTATGGTGGGCTGGAGGACCTCAGCTCCTTTCAGTCTAATTGGTACAGAGGGAAGCCTGGGGTCCAGGATGGATAGCTGTCAAAAAAGAGGAAGTGGGTGGCCTGCTCTGCTTCTTGGCTGAGACAAATGGACAGTTGCTCACACACTGGGCAGGTAGAAGTGGTCCTTGGCGCGGTGCTGTAGTGAAGCCAGCTTGGACACTTGCTGCAGCTGTTGCTCACTGGGCTGGCTGGCTGGCACACTGCTGAAGAGGCCCTTCAGGTAGTTAGGCAGAACCTGCAGGGAGTAGTTGTATGAGGATAGATGCACATTCAGATAGGTATGTACTCAGGCATTCACTGTCAGGCAGTTGTATTAGCTCCAATCCTACCCACTTCTAGGACGATATGGCTCATCACTTTCAGGGTTTTGGAGGAATGATGATAGATGCATATGGGAGTGAAGTTCTGAGGGATGAAGACTGTGAGGGAGTTTCCATGGTGACATGGGAAAAGTATGGGTTAAGCAAAGCAGAACATAAACAATACGGTGTGCACAGGTGTTCATCAAATTATTTCTCAAAATTGAGACCCAGGGCAGGGAGTGTGTCAAATCAGACTTTAGGACTGTGTCTCAAGGTTCTGATCCTATAGCTGTGGGGCAGAGCTAGACAGTCTGCATCATGTTTTTGCTGGTCCTTGAGTAGCACACTATCAGGCTACATAATGCTAGGTTTCAACAGCGACACCATGTGGCCCCGGAAGCTAAGTGGTGGAATTTTGTACATGGGATTGCTGAAGCTTTGTCACTAGTGACACAAAAATCTGGCTGTGGCACATGTGGTGAGTGACCTGACAGGCCCCCAGCACCCTACAAGGCTCAGAACAACAAAGGGGCCTCATTGCTGACCTGATTGTAGTGCATGGTCACATACAGTTCATTCTCAAACTTGAGCGGTTGATCCCAGAGCACCCGCCGGAACCAGAGCATGTAGCCACCATCCACCTGCTCCATTTCTGAGGCCACATCCAGGATGTAGGCCCAGCGGCTGAGAGGACACACATGCTGGCCTGCAGGGAGGGAGAGGTAGGCCTGGTAGGTACACTTGAGGGCACTTGTAAGTGCACAAGCAGCATGTAACTCCAACCTGCCAGCCAAGTTAGGTGTCACCTCTAGCTAGTCACTGCTCTGGGATGCATCTTTCTCATTAAGGGAGCATACTTATGAAACCGAGTGCTTGTACATCACTGGTGATCACAAACAGGATGAACTCCAAAGAAACAAGTAGCATTCCATTTCTCCCAAGGAAGGGGCCTCAGGGGTGCTTGGGAGTGCCTTGTGGGGGTCTGGAAAGGGCCTTTGGTTTTGTTCCTCCTTCCAGAGGAGACTGTGGTCACAGAGAAGCACAGAAGGTCTCAGTCATGAGCCTTCCTGTAGACTTCCTTCAGGAGAGTCCCCTTGCTGGGCACTTGTCGTGGGCAGGGTGGAAGACGTGAGAGGCACAGACCTGTCTCTCTTGTACAGTTGTTTCTGTTACCCATCCCACATCTTCAGTAAAATTGTACTACAGAGGACTGCTCAGCCTAGAATCCTGAAGCCAGGCTTCCTGGGTTCAGATTTCCACTGTGTAACCTTGAACAATTCACTTAGCTTCTGTGGTGTCTGATGACATCCCCTCCAGAGATGTCAACAACCCTAATGCCTAGAACCTGTGACTATGTCAATTTTATGGCAAAAGGGACTTTACAGATGAGGTTAAGGGTCTTGGATAGGTCTAGTAGAAGCACTAAAGATCCTAAGAAGGAAGCCAGAGGCTCAGGGCAGAGATTCGAAGGCAGAACACAGGTTGGGACAGTAGAGAAAAACATTGGAAGATTCTATACTGCTGGCTTCAGAAATAAGGACGGGGCAACAAGCCAAGAAGTGGGGGTGATTTATAGAGGCTGGAAAGGGGAGGAAATGATCCATAGCTTAAAGCTTCCAGAAGAAAGAAGCCTTGACCACATTCTTATTTTAGTAGTTCTGACTCTCAGAACTATAAGATAATCCATTTGTGCTATTGTAAGCTGCTGGGTCATTTATTATACTGGCCACAGAAAAATAAAGCAGCCTCTCTGGGCCTTAATTTCCCTAACTACAAATAGCAAAGAGAACAGTTTATAGAGTTGTGAGGCTTAAAAAACTTTCTAGCAGTAAAGTCTGGGGTGTGGAGGCATAGCTCAGTAGTAGAAGGCTTTTCTAGGAGGCACAAGACCCTGGGTTTGACCCCCAGCACACACACAAAACAAGAAAAAAGGAGTTTATAGCATTAAATGCTTTGACTCATGCCTGGGACATAGTAGATGCTCAGTACATGTCCACTGCTAGGGCCATTCTGTAACCACTATCCCTATCCCCTAGGCTTGTGGCAGGCAGGGCTTAGGAACTCATGAGGTGTCTGTGGCTACCAATTGGCGCCTAAAGTGGGGATGCAGCAAATGGAAGAGGCTTTGGGTTGTGTGAGGCTCCTTGAGTATCCTAAGCGCCTGTGGGAGAAGGGTCCACTGAGAGCTTACGAGAGGTTCCTGCTCTGAGGGCAGAAGAGCTGGAACAAATGTTCCCACTTGAGGTTTCAGGAATCTGGATTTATTGACAAAAACTTTCCCAGAATGTAAGGCTCCTCTGACTGAGAAGGATTTGAGGGGCCATGAGGGGCCCAGGCATGATTCAGAGGTTCTGCCCTCCATGAACTCCAGTATGGAAGGAGAGACAGATGTGTGCAGAGCATAACAGAATGGGACAGATGAAAGGCTTGGTGGGGGACATACTCAGAATACATGGCAGTCCTTCATCACAGAAGTCAAGGGCTTCCTGGAGAAAGTGGCCTTTGACCTGGCCTTCAGGATGGGGTAGAAGCCCCCATGGCCAAAGGAGCTGGGTTATGAAAGAGCCCAGAATGCTCAGTCTTTCTGGTGACTCACCTTGGTTGGTGACAACAAAAATGACATACTCATTGAAGGCCTCAGGGCGTGTCAGGGCCATCTCAGTGCAAATGTCTTCTACCACATCCAGGGCCACCTGGACAGGGCAGAGAGGTAAGGCTGGGCCTGTCCCCACAGGCCTCAGGATCTGAGTGCAGATTTCATTAGATGCTCACATAGAGGCACAAGACTCCGTGGTTCCAAGAATCAGTCTCAGGCTGACAGTTTTTGGAGTCTGAGACAGGCTCCCATTCTGCCTTCATTTTTTTCTTTTCTTTTCTTTTCTTTCTTTTTTTTTTTTTGGTCTTTTTGAGACAGGGTCTCCCTGTAGTCCCAGTTGTCCTGGAACTCACAGAGATCCTGCTTCTGCCACTGGGACTACAGGTGTGTGCCCAGCCTGCCTTCATTTCTTACTCTTTCTGTGACCTTGGAATGTATGACCCTTAGCTTCTTGGAGGTTCAGTTTGTTATTACTCCATTGGTATCCATAACGGACCCATTGCAGGAGCTCCTGGAGACACCAAACTCCCAGGATGCCCAAGTCCATTATTTAAAATTATGTAGTATCTGTGTGTGACCCATACACATCCTTCTCAGACTTTCAGTCATCTCTGATGACTGATAATACTAAATGCAATGAAATTCTGTGTGGACCGTTGTCTTACAGTATTGTCTAGGAAATGTAAAATAAATCTGTACTGTTCAGATGTGACTTTTTTCAATCTGCAGTTAGTTGAATCTGTAGATGCTTCAGCAGTTCACCCACAGATGTGGAGGATTAACTTTAAGTCCTATTTCATGAGGCTATGGGAGAGCCTGTGAGGAACTCTGGACCCTTCGGGCAAACTCCACCCCACCCAGAGCCTGGACATCCCTACCTTCCTACCACTGGCTTGTCTGAAATACTCCTTACTTACAGTGCATGTTTTGATCTTCAGATGCCGTTCAAGACCTCCAGGAAGAAGAAAGAGCTGCCTCTTGGAACTGCGGCCTGCCTGGGGGAGGTAATCAGGAAAAGGATGAAAGCCTGGGCCTGTCCCCTGTCATGGGAGTCCCCATGCCCAGAGGCATGTCCATGCAGGGACCCTTATGCACTGGGACTTGACAGGAGCTATTTTCACACACCATGCAGTGTATGCGCACCTAGTAGGGGGTTCTGGGAAGAGCTTGTATCTCCTACTTATCTTGACCCCCTAGCCCCACTGCAGGCTCACCAACATGGCCCGAAGCTCCATGTTGCTGGGGAGCTCCAGTCGGCCCCCAAAATGCAATGTCTTCTGTAGATTTTGCTCACAGGCCTTGGCAATCCCTGCAGGAAGTTGAGGCCTTGATCAAGGTTGGTAGTAGGAGGAAAGGGTTCCTCTTGCCCCAACCATGAGCTGGAGTGTAATGGCAGGATTCAAATCTATATCTCATGGAGTTGTAACCTTGTCTTGCCCTTGGCTATCTATGAGCCTGGACACATCCATGCCCCTGAGCTGTTGACTATGAAGCTCGTTCCCAACAGGCTTTATGGTTGGCATGATGGTACCCTGGTCCTGTCAACTGGGACCCACACCAACTGCCCTGCCTCATTGGGCATCCCACCATCAGTGAGTGCTCTATATATCTAAGCTAAGCAGTGCCACTGCCTGCTCCAGGGATGGAGTCAAGCATTCCAGGGCACATTCTGCTCCCACCTGGGAGCCCTTCCCTAGGTAGCCAGGTCAGTTAATAATTAAAGGAAGATTCGGGAGGGAGGCCACTATGTCCTCTATAGCTGCCATCACAATTTACCTGAGGGATCCTGGCCCCTCTGTTTTTTTTTTTGTTTTTCTTGAAAGAGGGTCCCAGTATGTATCCAAGGCTAGCCCGGAACTCCTGATATTCCTGCCTCAGTCTCCTGGGTGCTGAGATTACAGATGTGCACCACTGTGCCTAGCTTCTTTCTTAGGATTACTTTGGAAATAAGGCTGAAAAGCAGCCCCATACTTCAAGGGGCAAAGCTGAGACCTTGCCACCAGCTTCAGGCCACTGAAGGCCCTGGCTGAAGAGAGGTATGGCCATACTCTGGTATTCTGGTTCTTGCCCACCTTCCTTACCTCTCTCACATGCCATGCACTCACTCCACTTCTGGGCCTTGACCCCTGCCGAGTCCACCTGGAAATCCCCTGTGTGCACTCACTATCCAGGGTGGTTCCTGCTATAGGAAGCCTTCCCTGGCTACTGCCACAATAAGAGGAGAAGATCCAGTGCACCAACCCCCTTGGGAACTCCATGAATGTTTGCAAAGTCATATATTGCTTAACATTGCCTAGGCACCTACCAAAGGCAGACCCTCTGAGTCTTCCGTCCCATGAATGTATGCCCTGTCCCCACATGAAAGACATACTTCCCTGAGTTACCACTCACAGCTCCTTACCCTGGAAAGGCAGGCCTGGGGTCCAGCTCACATGTTGGAAGAAGCGAATGAGGTGTGGATAGAAGACCTCAGAGCAGCTGTGGTAGGCAGCCACAATGTACAGTAGCCTCCATCCTCGCTGGCAGCTGTCCCTGCAAACACATACGGGCTCACATCACAGGTGGCTGCATGCCAGACTTAGAGATGGAGGCTAGAGTTCAGACATAGGTGTAACTGACCTGGATCCTGAGCCACTGTGTTTGGTTCAAGAATGAGCATATTAGGGGTGGAGAGATGGCTCAGTGGTTAGGAGCACTGGCTGTTCTTAGAGAGGATGTGGGCTCAGTTCCCAGGACCCACATAGTGGCTAACTCCAATTCCAATGGAATCAATGCCCTCTTATGGCCTCTGGGGGCACTGCATGCATGTGGTGCACTTACATATATACAGGCAAACACACATAAAAGGAAATACATTAATTAAAAATATTTATTTTCATGTGTATGAGTGTTCTTCCTACATGTATGTAAGTATACCATGTGTGCTGTGCCAACAAAGACCAGAAATGGGCATCAGATGTCTTAGAACTGGAGTTTTGGGCAGTTATTAGCAGGTACATGGGTGCTAGGAACCTGGGTTCTTTGAAAGCGCAGCAAAGGCTCTTAACTGCTGAGCCATCTCTCTAGCCCTCTTTTAATTTTTTTTTATTGTGTATGCATGAGGTATGTACGTGGATACACATGTGCCATAGAACACATGTGAAAGTCACAGGACAACTTTGTGGACTCAGTTCTCTCCTTCCATCTTTATATGGGTTTCAGGGATTGAATTCATATTGTCAGACTTGTGCAACAAGCACTTTACTCCCAGAACCATCTTGCTAGCCCCATAAAAACCATGAGTTCGGACTCCCAGCACCCATGTAAAAGTCAGACATGACAGTGTGCACCAGCAACCCCAGCCCAGGGCCCTAACCCAGTATTCTGGGTTCCTGCCCATCTATGCCAAGATCTCTACTTCTGGCCTTTGATTCCTGCAAATCCCACTTGGAAAGGAAATCCCTTTAGTGCCCTCACTGCCCAGGGTGATCCCAGTTCTAGGAAGCCTTCCCTGACTACTCCTGGGGGATGGAGACAGATGGATCCCTGGAGCTTGCTGGCCAGTGAGAGCTCTAGGTTCAGTGAAAGATACCGTCTCAAAAAAAAAGTGAAGAATAATAGCAGAAAATACCCCAAATCAGTCTCTGGCCTCCATACGCACAGGCATGGAGAGAGAGAGAGAGAGAGAGAGAGAGAGAGAGAGAGAGAGAGAGAGAGAGAGAGAGAGCCATTTCTTCTAAAGTTTTAAACATTTATTTATTTTTATGTTTATTTATTTTTATGTTTATGAGTGTTTTGCCTGCATGGTTGTAAGCACACTACATGTGTGCAATGCCAGAAGAGGGTGTTGGGTCCCCTGGAACTGGAGTTATAGATGGTTGTTAGCCACTATGTGGGTGTTGGGAATTGAACCTGGGTCTTCTACAAGAGCAGCCAGTTCTCTTAACTGCTTAGCTATCTCTCCAGCCCTCTCCTAACTTGTTTTTTGCTGCTTTTGGAAGGGCTGGCACAAATGACTCCCATTTTTTTGTTGCTGTGGTTAGTTTTGACAGGATCTTGCTATGAAGCCCAGGCCAACCTCAAATTTAGGATCTTCTGCTTCAACTTTTCAACTACTGGGATTACAAGCAAGTGCCACCATGCCCAGTGCAACTTCATTTCAATCCCAACAACTTCTCCCTTTTGTCTCTGAAGAATATCTGAACAATATTCTCTGAAGACACAGCTGATTATAACCCTCTGGTGGTTTGATCTCAACTCTTCCTCAGTGCTAGAATGATCTCAGTTCTGATCTGATTCAATATTGAGGGGAGTAGTGAATGACAAATGTCAAAGGAGTTAGTGCCAGTCAAACCCTTTATGGCCAATTTTTTTTTGTTTGTTTGCTTGTTTGTTTGTTTGAGACAGGGTCTCCCTGTCACCCCAGCTGGCATAGAACTTGGTATGTAGACCGGGCTGGCTTCAATTTCATAGAGATCCACCTGCCTCTGCCTCCCAAGTGCTGGGATTAAAGGTGTGTGCCACCACCCCAGGGCCTTTTATGATCAATTTTAAACAACCAAGAGGTGTACAAGGAGTGGCTCTTAGGCCAGGTATATTTGGAGGCCATTGTCTATCCTGTGGGTGAAGTCTTAGCATCAGGTAAAGGTGCTTAACAACATGACCTGAGTTCAATCCTGGGGACCCACATCATGGAAAGAGAGGATCATCTCCTACAGGGTTCCCTCTGACTTCCACATGTGCACTGTGAAATGTATGCACCCTCCCGCCCCACTAAAAAAGGTGTTTTTTAAAAGTTGGATTTCCAGGGTCAAACTTTCTTGAGAATTCAAAATAAAGTCCAAACACTCATTTCTCTGCCTCACCAAACAGAGGTAAAAAGTAGCTGATGTGGGTCTCAAAAACAACAACAACAACAGCAAAAAAAAAAAAAAAAAAAAAAAAAAGGGCTGGAGAGATGGCTCAGTGGTTAAGAGCACTGGCTGTTCCTGCAGAGGACCTGGGTTGATTCCCAGCATCCACATAGATGCTAACAACCATATATAAATCCAATTCCAGAGTAATACAATGCCCTCTTCTGACCTTCACAGGCATTGCATGACACAGGTGCACTTACCTACACTCAGGCAATACATTCATACACATAAAAATAATAATAAATAAAATATTTGAAAACAAACAAACAAAAAACTATTGGTTGAAGAGGCACACACCTTTAATCCCAGCACTCTGGAAGCAGAGGCAGGTGGATCTCTGTGAGATCAAGCCCAGTCTGGTCTACATAGTGAGTTCTGAACCAACTGGAGCTACAGGGAAACCCTGACTCAAAAAGACCAAAGGGGGAAAAATAACAACAACAACAGAAACAAACAAACACCCCCCCCAAACCCAGCTCTCAGGAGGCAGAAGCAGGTGAAGCCAACCATAGCTGTATAGTGAGACTCTGTCTGAAAACAAAAACAACCCCCCCCAAAAGGGGGGGACTGAAGAGATGGCTCAGCAATTAAGAGCACTGGCTACTCTTGCAGAGGACCCAGGTTCAGTTTCCAGCATCCACATCAGGTTACTCACAGCAGTCTAATTCCTGGCACCGCACTCAAATGTTCAACCCCCTCCCCATATACAGATAATTAAAAAAAATAAAATATTTAAGATTGTATATGCAGGTTTAAAAAGCAGCTGATATGGGACAAAAAAAAAGTCCCTGGAACACAGTGAGTCCAGCCAGCTGCATGGGACTGCTTAATCTTTCCTCTCCATCCAGGATCAACTTGCTTTGAGTGGCTTAAAAAACATCCTTGGGCGTGGTGGCACACGCCTTTAATCCCAGCACTTGGGAGGCAGAGGCAGGCAGATCTCTGTGAGTTCAAGGCCAGCCTGGTCTACACAGTGAGTTCCAGGACAGCTGGGACTACAGGGAGACCCTGTCTCAAAGAGACAAAATGAAAAAAAATTTGAGGGTTTGCCAAAATTGTTACTGGAATTGTTAGGGCTAGAGCCTGGGTGGGCCCTGGCAGCCCTAACAGGTTAGGCTCAGCACCAACCATCAATAGGCCAGTTAAATAAGTAACAGTGAAAACTAGAAAAGGGAGAATTTGGGGCTGGAGAGATGGCTCAGTGGTTAAGAGCCCTGACTGCTCTTGCAGAGGACCTGGGTTTGATTCCCAGCACCCACATGGCAGCTATGAACCATCCTTAATTCCAGCTCCAGGGGAATCCAAAGCCATCTTCAAGCTGTCTTCTGACCTCCAAGGCATTGCACAACAGACGTGGGTGCACTCACATACATGAAGGCAATACACTCATACACATAAAATAAAAATAATAAATAAAATATTAAAAAAATAGCTGTGTGTGGTGGCCCATGCCTTTAATCCCAGCACTTGGGAGGCAGAGGCAGGTGGATCTTTGTGAGGCTAGCCTGGTCTACATAGTGCGTTCCAGGACAGCTGGGGCTACGGGAGACCCTGTCTCAAAAAGACAAAAAATAAAAAATAAAATAAAAATAAAAAAAAGAAAAGGGGGAATTTATTCAATGTGGCCTCATTGGGAAGTGACTCCCACAAGTCCATCTTCCTGGATTTTGAAATTTCTGCATCAGTACTGAGTCAGTCTTGTTTTTCCTGGGATTATTGCGCTTTGCTAATCCACAAGAGCGACTATAAGAGAACGGCATCAACACAGAGGAAAGCAAGACCAGGAGATGGAGAAAGCTTGCTTTCTTTTTTTAAAAAATATTTATTTATTGGTCTTTTTGAGACAGGGTCTCCCTGTAGCACTAGCTGTCCTGGAACTTATTATGTAGACCAGGCTGGCCTTGAACTCACAGAGATCCACCTGCCTCTGCCTCCCAAGTGCTGGGATTAAAGGCGTGCGCCACCACACCTGGCCTAATATTTTATTTTATTTATTATTTTTATTTTTTATGTGTTTGAGTGTATTGCCTGCATGTATGTGAGTGCACCTGTGTCATGCAATGCTGCGGAGGTCAGAAGAGGGCTTCAGATTCCCCTGGAACTGGAGTTAAGGATGGTTCGTAGCCGCCATGTGGGTGCTGGGACTCGAACCCAAGTCCTCTGCAAGAGCAGTCAGTGCTCTTAACTGCTGAGCCATCTCTCCAGCCCTGAAAGCTTGCTTTCTAATGGCACCTGGATCCATCTGTGCCTGGAAGCGCATATTAACTGAATTTTCACCTGCATGAAGCAGCAGGCTTTCTCTTTTGCTCAGACTGGCCTGAACTGGGTTTCTGTTACATGTAGCCAAAGACCTGAACTTAAATGTTATCACTGCCACTTTCTCAGAGGAGGAAAGAGCAGAAATTATATGTTCCAGATCAAGCAGTTCCAAGAATGTGTAAGTAGGGAGGAAGGTAAAGGAATCGAGACTGAGCAGGGAGAGGTCTGGGGTGGGGGAGGCCAGACTCCACTGCTGGAGTGTGGGCATGGTGGACTGGGAGCCCAGGAGACTCACTGCTTGGTGCTGGTGTTGTCTGTGATCTGCTTCACAATCTGGCAGTAGCACTCATCTCGAAGGACCTCTTGATCCCTACAAAGCTGAAAGAGGGCAGGTCAGATCACTCGTGCCAGGTATATCAGAACAGGCTGCGTACTTGGAATTCAGCCAGGTGTCCCTTCTCCAGCCCTCCTTTCATTCTTATTTGGAACACATGAGAAGCCTCCCATGGCGCTGTCTTGCTATTGTAGCCCACTGATGGGGACAGAGCAAGAAGGAAGCGTGGGACACAATCACCTGGACTGACCTTCAGGAGGGTGCAGAGCACATCCAGTTCACTCTGGCCTTTCAATGGGGCATCTCCCATGAACCTCATCACCGCTGTAGGAAAGACCCATCCTTTTCAGGCCCACCACATCCCAGCTGCCTATCCCAGGGTGCCCCAAGGTCCATTTCCTCCCTCGGAGGCTGCAGCCAAGGTAGCTGGAGGCTTCTATTCTCTTCAAGGTGACCTGAGCTTGGGGAGGGGAAGACTGAGGACCAGAGAAGAGAGGTGACAAGTAGGGTTACAGAGCGCTGCATCCCACACACCGAGGAACATGTCAATGGCCATCTTGTTGAGGCTGTTGTCATTGAGTTCAATGAGGGATTCCTGGATCGGGACCTATGAGGGGAACAAGGGGCTGATCATGATGGAGTTGGGACATGGTAGAGCAGAAAAGGAGCACATCACAATTTCAGGCTGTGTTATGAGAGGTGCGTCCTGTCAGAAAACAGGAACAGACACTGTCTGCAAGCCTCACTGGGGACAACTGCTTGCTCCAGCGTGTAGGAAGGGGGATCCTGCATCACCATTCTGAGGAAACTGAGGCACAGGACTGGACACCTTAGTGAAGCAAAGCATGTCCTCCAGAGTTCCGGACTCCCTGTCCTCCTTGGATTTCAGCCTGAAGCCATCCCTGTAACATATGGGCTCTGTTAACTAATCCTGCTTCCCAGCCTTTGGCCACATCTTGCCACGGGAGACTGTTCCTGTTGCCCCATTCCAATCAATCAGTCCACCAGCAAGAAGGCACCTAGAGGTTGAGATCATAGGGGGCCCCCCTCCCACCCGTCGGAGGTGGGGCTGGCAGTCCAACAGCCTACAGCTTGGACAGATGCAAGACAACAACAGAGTGTGAGGAAGAGGTGGCACCGCCGCTCACCGCGGACGCCTCCGAGGGTCTCTGAAATACTTCTGGGCAAACTCCAGCATTGTGCTGGGTGGCAGCGCCAGTGCATCCTCTCCGCTGTCGGCTGAACGCGCCCCGACTAGGGGGCCCTGCAGAATAAACGTAGTTGGGAGGCCCATCGGCTCCTCCCTTGACCGTCCGGAGGCAACTGATCGAGAGCACACCCTCGCTGACCACGCCGCCCAGCATCTGGACACTGACCGGTCGAGGGCAGATGGCCTCACCCTCTCTAGCCTGACTCGCCACTTGCGGGACTCCGCCTCCTAGCCAGACCCCTTCGTGGAGTTGGCTGCAGCCTCAAGGTTGGCCACGCTCTCCCCAGGCCTGACTCCACCCCTCACTGGTCTATTCCTGGACAAGCTGCACCTCACCTCGCGTTGACTTCACCCACAGCCCTGTTTGCAGCCGACTGACACTCTGAGTCCTTTCTCCCATTCGGTCACCTCCGACGGGTGGTACGGCTGATTTGCTTTATTGTAGGCCACACACCCTGCTGCCAGGATGGCCCCGCCCCGTCGTCTGGCCACGCCCCTCACCTCTCCCCGGCGGCCCACCTCCCGCGCTGCAGCTGCGGAGGCAACCGCCGCAGCCACAGCAGCGGCCCGGCCCCGGCTCGGCTCCGCGGGCAGCTGCAGAAATTCCGGGGCGGCGGCCGGCTGCACCAGATCTGAGGGAAAGCGGCCCACGCGCCCGTGGACAGTCCCGAACCGCCAGCCTAGAGACAGGTAAGGGTCTGAGAAAGATCTTGGTAGAGATAAAGGGGGTTCTTTAAAGAGGCTCGGGCACATCCTTGAGCCTTCTTAGTGCTCTGTGAGATGAGCCATGCTGGTGTTTTTGGGTTTTTTTTTTGTGGTACTGGGGATAAACCCCAGGAATCAGAGTAGTCTGGCCATAAGCATGCGGCCACCCCTTAGGCACCTGTGCAAGCAGAGGTCGGGTTGTAGAGCTGCTGGCAGGCATTACAGAGACCCAGGGGCCTTAGGGGTCCCACCGGCACCAACAGACCCTCATCACGTGTCTGCAGTGTGCTGGGAACCTGGGCTGGCCACTGTTTGGGGGCTCCAGGTTTGGGGCATCCACAAGCACTCACCAAAGTCAGGGCCTCTCCGCCGCAGCTCCTCCAGGTACACCAACTTCTTGCGGACCACACAGCCAGCGCTGTAGCCTGTGGGCCGGGCTTGTATCAGCGTCTGCCAAGGAAGCCCCTTCCTCAGCCTCCCATTTCATGTTCACTTCCACCCGGCCATGGGGCCATGGAGCTGACCCACTCTAGGTGGCTCCAAGGGCTGCAGGTGGATGATGTCACCCTTGTGGAAGGCCAGCAGCTCTGGGTCTTCAGGCAGGAAGTTCCGTACAGCTACCACGTAATCAGAATCCTGGAGACACCAGGAAAAGAGTGAGGGGCTTCAGGGTACTGCCCTTTTCCCTGGGGCTTCCAGCCCCTCTCCTATGTCTCCCCATCCCCCAACCCATCAGAGAAGGCACATTCTCTAGGTGGGCAGAGGGTAAGGCATTAAATGGTAGAAACCTGAGTCTGCTGAGCACACAGTTGTGCCTTAACTACTAAGCCTTCCTTTGAATTGCCCTAGGCTAGGTGCTGGGACTGGGGCATGACCCACCCACCAAGGCTTAGGGATGGAGGGAGATGGAGGTGCAGGAAGCAAGCAGTGCAGCGGGCAGGCAGTGGGGTTCTGTGGCAACAACTGTTTGGGGCTTAGAGGAGGTGCATTCTACACTGCTTAAGGTAGGTGTGAAGAATGTGCTGAGAAGGCAAGGGGCTGAGGTATGGCAGGTGGAAGGCCCAGCTTGTGGGCATACAGAGGTCTGTGGATGTATTCTTTGGTGTGCACATGTGCATAGTATGTTCACACTCATCAGGCAGAAGGGCTGGGATATATCTGTGTTGGGGTGGCAGAGGACATCTGTGGAAGGAGCCTGACCTTCTTCAGCTCCAGGATGAAGTTGTCTACCAGGGTCTTGACCTGATGAGCTCGGGCTGAGAAGAGGATAATCTTCTCACTGGCCAGGTTGAACTCCAGCATGTTCTGTGATGGCATGGTCACAAACAGGATGTCTGCAAAGCTGGAGGGTGGGGAGGTAGCATGAGGGCAGGACCCCAGAGCCAGAGAGATGCCTTCCCAGGAGCTGTCACACTTTCTGTTCCTGTCTCCCTTCTCTGACCCATCTGTGGATTCTGTGTATCTCTCAAAACCTTTTGTACTACGCTCCAACCCCCTCCTCCACAGACTTTGCCCACACAATCTTTCTTTCATCAGTTTGCTTGATTTTTTTCATTGCATACTTCCTTCACAGAATGGAGCTTCCACCCAACCAGGGACCAAGGCTCTTTCCTGACCTCATGTCAGAAAGGACAAAGGGACTCCAATGGGGTGTGTGGCCACTCAGCAGGATCTCAGGGCCAGAGCCAGATGCCTGGGGATTTAGTTGCTCCCAGAAGTCACCCCTCTGCACAGTGACCTCTGGAGTGGGGCTGGCATGTGGTCCTAGAGGCAGGGCAGGTAGTGGGCTTTCTAGCTCAACCACTTATTGTCTATCTGACTAAAGATGATCAACTTCTCTCTCTGTGGTTCAGTTTCCAAATCTCTGCAATAGACTTAATTAAAAGGCTTGGCACACCTGGTATATCACAGGGCTTAGTAACAGCTCTGAGTACAGTGAGGGGATGTTGATGCCAGTCTGTGCCCCAGTGCTCAGGAAGCCCCACTCCCATCTTCCTGCCAATCACCTATATGCATGCAGGACCTGCAGCTGCCTGCTGGCCTCCCTGCTGCCCTTGGCCATCCGCAGGAGTTTGATGCCCGTGTGGGATACAGCTAGGATCTGCACGCCAGTGCCCACACTGCCCTAGGAAGGATGAAGACTGGTGAGGTCTTCTAGTCTTAGTCCTGCATGCTCTGGGCAGGCAGGCAGGCAGGGATAAGCAGGGGCTCGTACTGTGGCTGGGAAGAGGCGGGAGAAGTAGATCTCCCAGCTGTCTCTGGCCATGCTGACTGCAGCACGCTTCACACTCTCTGTGACCAGAGGTCGCTGTGTGTCCAGCTGGTTCTGGGCTAAGAGAGGCCAGTTCTGGTCAAGACCTGCTTCCCCTGTTTTTTGCCAACTCACATCTGATCAACAGCTATACTGGGAAACTGACAGCCACAGATGGCCAGGGCCGCCCTATGTGTCAGATGTTGCTGACCTCCAGTTTGGAGCCGGGCAAGGCTGAACAAAGAAGGGTGTGTGGGGGAGGCAAGAGGGTTTGGCATGTTCTCAGCCTCCTTCCACCCAAGGGTTAGTACCCCGACTCTGGTTAGCTGACGATCAGCACGCCTCCCCTCACCCAAGGTACCAAACAGGGCCTTCATTTGGCGCCGTTCATCCTCAGAGATCCGTAGGCAGGCCTCGGATAGCGTGTCATGCAGGATCTGCAGGAACAAGTATGCCTTGCAGCTGGCTTGTGAGTGCATCTGCCAGAAGCTGAGGCCAGACTGTCCTAGGGTATGTGGGAATGGGGGTCCTGTTCTGCAGCACCGGGGTCATCTATAATCTGGGTCACTTTTGTTGTCAGATCCTTTGTATGGTTACCTTTATAACCCTTTCCATTCTTCCCAGGCCTTGGTTTCCCAATATCAGGCAAGGCTTGGATTTGATCTCTAGGCCCTGCTGAGCTCAAACACTGACTTTTTTTTTTCTTTTTGAGACAGGGTCTCACATAGCCAAGACTTGAACTCTTCATCCTCTTTCCTCTACCTCCTGGGGGCTGGAAATATAAGTAAGTGTGCACACATGCCTGGCTCAGACTGTGACTCATGAGATGGACTGTTTTTTTCTTTTTTTTTTTTTTTTTTTTGAGACAGGGTCTCCCTGTAGCCCCAGCTGTCCTGGAACTCACTATGTAGACCAGGCTGGCCTTGAACTCACAAAGATCCGCCTGCCTCTGCCTCCCAAGTGCTGGGATTAAAGGCATGTGCCACCACGCCTGGCATGAGATGGACTTTTAGGACTGCTGACCTTGTTCATGGGAATGAGGGAATCAATACAGCAGCTCTTAAACCCAAGGACCCCAAATCTCAAAAGCAGAAAAGAACCTGCCTCAAGAGGCAGGAAGGTAGGAGAGGGCTTACCTGCCGGAACAATAGATCTAGCTGCACAGGGTGGTTGTAGCTGTCTTTAGGGTAGAACACCTGCATGGGTGAGGCCTCAGTTATCCATGGACTGACAACCCCTCCTCTTGTTTGGGCTCCATCCTCAGACGCAGCCCCTGGCTCTGACTCCTTTTCTAGCTCCAGCCCCAATTCCATTCTTCTGGGCTCCCCTGCCCTAACTCCCCTGGACAGCTCTGCCCTTAGACCATCCCCTAGCCTGCTCCTGGCACCTCTTTGCGCAGGAAGATCCGCCAGGGGGCATCTTGGTAGCCGTAGAAGTTAGGGTTGACCAGACGGTGCAGCTGTGTCTGCACAGGTTCCTCTGGAGGCTCCAGAGACCTGGAAGGCAGCACTGCCAAGAGCAGGAGCAAAGAGTGGAGGAGGGCCTCTTGGGACCCAGCAGGAGAGACAGAACCAGGGAGGGGCAATATGTATTGAGAAAGGGCTAGGCAGTGCAGTAACCACAACTGCTTATCCATATATGGATTCATATGACCTAGGCCTTTTCCCCACAAGTGTGGAGAACACCTAATAGCTCACCTGGGGATAAAGAATGCCAGGAGACAAGACAGATGGGGCTCCTGTAGCTGACTTTAACGTTACATGGAGGAAGGTATGGGGAGGACAGCTAGGAGGTGAGGTCAGTTGGGGGCCTCGTGAACAAGGGCAGGTGTTCTGGGCAAATCTCTCTGAGATGGCATTTGAGCTGATACCTGGTTGATGGCCAAGAAGGAGCCAGGCACCCAAAGATTGTGAGGGAGAGAGAGAGGAAACAGCAAGTGCAAAGGTCTTGAGGCAGGAGTGTGTTTGGTGTGTTACAGGGACTGAATGTGTCCAGAGGAAAAAGGAAAGACGTGAGATTAAAGGAACTGGGTTGGAAGATCATGCACAATGGTTTCAAAGATCACAGTGAAGAGCTGGAAGTTCACTGTAGGAACCATTTGTCAGAAACATGATCTGAGCTGACTTTTATCTTTTAGGATCACAGCCTGGTTAGGGCTTCCCTTTGGTGCCAGGAGGCTTGCTTTCTATCCCTAGTCTGATCCTTTTAAGCTGTGTGACCTTGGGCAAGCCACTTAAACTCTCTGTGCTTCTGTTTCCCCATTTGTAACAGGTAGGAACAAATGGTATTGGGCTTCAGTAGGATTGAATGAGGCCAGGGTGAGGCTGGCCTAAAACCAGTAAAGGGTGATGTTATGTGTCAATACAATGTACACACACGGACTTAGAGACAGACACAGCCCCACAGATGCCCCTGTGCGCCAAGGCTCCTTCACTCACTTGGAAATCACTTGTATGTCTCACCTTCCTGACCCTCACCTGGAGTGGGCCCAATGCATGGCCTTGAAGCACTAGTCACTGGCTTCACCAAGGCGATGGTCTCTCTGGACACCTGTCCCACCAGAAACAGGGTGCTCAGGGGGTAGCAAGTAGGCCATGGGGGGGCAGCATGGGGTCATGCTGAAAGGGTAGCCTCTCTCCCTCTAGGACCATCCACCCCATCCTCACCTGAGTGGCAGGCGCTTCTGCCAGGTGGGTCATCTGCCCCTTCAGGATCATTAGGGCCTCCTCGTGGGGGTTGGGCCGCTTCATGAACACCTTACCACCATCCATTCTGGCAGGTAACCAGTGGCAGTTAGACACTGGGTCGCCCTTCTACCCCAGCCCCCATGATAGGAACTTCTCTTACCACCCCACCATTTCAAAAGAGCACCAGAGAGGAGTGGAGACTGGCCTGAGGTCACAAAGCACAATAGACCATGGCAGCCTGGGCTTCCCATTGCCCAGGGGCCCATCTCAACTGGTGACAGACACAGTGCTGAGCTCCTGGAGGTAGGCTGAGGGCTGGGCCCACCTGTGGGCCTCTGGGCGGCCTGCCCAGGGTGGCTGTTGATACTGTCTGACAATGTTTCTGATTTGCTGTGTGGGCTGCGGGAAGTGCTCTGAGTTGAGTGTGGAGTGCTGGACCAGCTCCGGGGAAGCTGAGGCTGTGAGTGAGGATAGGTAGCCAGATGAAGCCATGGGACCCAGTTGCCCTGGCCTGTCTGGGCAGGCTCCTGGATTGGGGTGGACACTTACTGGATTCTGAAGAGGTCTGGTCTTGAGCTAGGATGGGAGCAGCCACAGGTTTGCTGAGGGTCCTTGGGGCCTTGGCCACAGGGGCTGGGGCCACTGAGTGTGGAGTGGGGCGCACAAGCACTGGTTTGGCTGGGGGGCCAGTGCCTACAGACTTTGGCTGTGCTTCTGGTACTAGGGATCTCTGTGGAGAGCAAGGCATGATATGGCCACTTAGGGCTGCTCCCATCCCAGGTACTCTGAGTGCTTAAGGTGGGCTATGGGACTCCTGGGCTCATAAAAGCCCTGGGCCAGCATGGTACTCCTGTTCACAGTGGGTGGCCCTGCTCACCTCTGGAGGCTGGGGTCTTGGGGCTGCACTGAAGGGCTGCTGCTGTTGGAGTGCCAAAGCCTGTAGGGTCATCTCCCTGGCCTGGGGAAAGGTGGCCAGAGTGACCAGGCAGATCTACACAGACACAGACACAGACACAGACCCAGACACACACACACACACACACACACACACACACACAGAGACACACAGACACACAGATACACACACACACACACACACTGTGCCCTGCCCCCACTCACCAATAGCACAGCCTGCCTGTGGATGAAGGCTTGCTGCAGAGCCAGAGTGGAAGCATCTAGGCCTGGGACTGGGGAGTCAGGCACCAGTGGGCACAGGTGTAGGGGAAGCAGGAGCTCCCTGTGTACCCTCCCACCCCTGGCCCCAAAGCATGCTGAGGAGGTACTGACTGGGCTTGAGTTCTGGGGGTTTCCTGGGGGTGTCTTCTGAACCACTGCTGCCACCTCCACCTGGCTGGCCTCCACCTTTCATGCGGTAGGCAATGGCTGTCGGCTTCTCCAGGTCCTGGGGCAGCAGTGGCCGCTTCACTGCTGTGCTCCCCAGGATCCCTGGCAACAGGCATCTGACACCACTCTTCCCCCTCCCCTCCTGCAGGGCCTTTGCCAGCTCAAGTCTGCCTTGTCCCCAGTCTATACCTCAGGCACTGCTCCTCCTGAGGCCCAAGCTCCCAACCCACACCCTCCACAGAAGAGTGAACTGCAGGAGGGAGCCAGTGTCTATGTGAGATGCCACAGAGGGGATTTGAGTGTTCCCAGGGAAAGGAAGTCTTGTGAGATCTGGGATCCAGCAACCAAAGCAACCCACTGCAGAGGTGGCAGCTGGGATCCTGACATCTAGCTGTGAGTCCTTGCAGGGCAGCCAGGAGCATCTCCAGCTGACAGGTGACAGAAAGCTTTCCCTGTCCCCAGCAGAGATCCAGGCAGGACTCCCTGCCCCAGAGCCCTGGGTGTGAGAGTCTTAGGTGTCACTTGAGACACAGGGTATGACTCTGCACACACTGAATCTGCCACCCTCAAACATCCCTCCTCATCCCTACCGCATCTCCGCAGGCTAGCACAGGGTCAAAGAGGCTGTCCAAGTAGCCATCCAGCTCCCTGGGGGGCACGGTGGGCTCTTCAAGGCTGTTCACAGCTGGAGGGACCACAAAAGAGCAAAGTTCATTTCTCCTGTGTGGTATCCACACCCCTCTGGGAATAGAGAACGCGCTGGTTGACCTTGATGGGTCACTGTCCCTCTTGGGTCTCAGTCTCCCCATTTGTACCATTCTCATTGTGGCTGCAGTACCCATCAGAGTCAGGAACTTTGGGCATGTGGCCCCGGGGCTGGGGCCTTATGGGTGTGTCTTCATCTGAGTCCCAGCAGTTTCCAAACACCCTGTGGAGGAAGGGGAGCACAGGGCAACTGACCTCAGAGAGATCCCCAGCCCTCCAAGAATCCCCCAGATTCTTCTGTGCCCTGGGCTGGGTGACGCTCCCTATTTGAAAAGCAGTGTTGCTAGGCATAATGACATGCACCTGCAGCCCCTGGTGCTTGGGAAGCTGAGGTGGGAGGAGGATTGCTTGAGCTGGGGAGGTTCCAGGGAAGCTCAACTCCGAACACCAAACAATCATAACCTGCCCCAAGAATGTCTTTCCTGAGCCTGGGCGTGGTGGCACATGTATTTAATCCCAGCACCCGGGAGGCAGAGGCAGGTGGATCTCTGTGAATTCGAGGCCAGCCTGATCTACATAGCGAGTTCTAGGCCAGCTGGGGCTACAGGGAGACCCTATCTCAAAAAGATAAAAAGAAAAAAAAATATCTTTCCCAATGGCTGGTGGGTAGAGTTGTCTGTCTAGGAGAGGTGTCCGGCCAAGTAGCTACATACACTCTGGTGTCTCCTCTGCCAGCCACAGGTCCTTCTGCACCCACAATGAAGTAGGACCTCTGTCGTGGGAAGTCCCTGAGCAGCTCCAAGTCTGATACCAGGTCCAGTACATAGTCATGGCCGGCCAGTTCTGCCCACCTGATTCCATTGTTCATGGCCACAGTCCAGCCCCGCCAGCCATCAGCCAGCCCCCTGGTGACGGTGTGCAGAGGAATGGAAATAAAGGATGAAACTATCAGGCACTACCTGGAGATCCTGGTAGTCGGATCCCAGGTATGGCCAAAGTGGTCCTCTGGGCCCCCTGGGGTGGGGCCTCCTGTCCCTCCCTCCCTCCCTGGTCACAGGGTACTGGGTGGGGCACTCTAGGAGCCAACCTGTGCCTCAGGATGTCTCCAGCCACTGCTTCCCCTGTACTCCAGGAGTGCACCGGGCAGGAGAACTGGTCACCTGGGCACAGCCGGTACTAGACTCAGTCTGGGCTGTCTTTAATCCAGTTTGCTGGCTTCCCTTACCCCCTCCCCTGTAACTCCACCTTCACCATCCCCTGCTCTCTTGTACCACCACATTGCAACTGGCCTCTCTGTAGCTCCAAGCTTTTGTGGCTGGTGCTGATAGCAGCCGCTCTTCCATGAGGGACATGCCGACTTACCATTGAAGCAACTCACATCTAGAGCCATGCTGGCCTTCTCCTGAGTGACAATCCACTCAAGTTGGGTTGGGGGGAAAGTGCGGGCAGCCCCTGAGCCCATGGCCTGCAGGAGGCGGTGCTGGCAAACAGCCTGGAAGCCATTCTGCCCATAATCAGACACAAACCTAGGGGACAAGTAGGGAGTTGGAGTGCTGAAGCTAGCCTAAAAAAAAAAAGGTCCCAGGCTAACCTAGAAATATCCAGGCTATCATAGAAGTCCAAGGATGAAGCAAAATGTCATTTTTTTGCATCCACAATGAACTAGGACCTCTGTCGTGGGAAGTCCCTGAACAGTTACAGGTCCAGCACATAGTCATGGCTGGCCAGTTCTGCCCACTGGACTCCATTGTTTATGGCCACAGTCCAGCCCCACCAGGTGTGTGTGTGTGTGTGTGTGTGTGTAACTGAATTTGGATAAGAACCTGGCCTCCAGAGGCCTTTGCCCTCATCCCTTCTCCAGGCAGAATGGGTGCCTGCCTGATCTGAACTTGGCCTCCTAGTTTTCATCTGAGTAAGAGATGGCTGTGAGGGTCTAGCTCAGCTCAGTGCCAGTAAGCTATTTCCACTGACAGGTCTTCCTTGTACCCCTACCCCTTCTGCTTACTGAAAGGAACCCAGAAAAATGCTCTCAGGGAGGCTACACGCAGACAGCCAGGGGCCCTACCCTGCTTCCAGAACCACGACAGCCACAGGATTGGCTGGGATATGGTAGCCTTCTGCATGCTGGCCTGGAGAGACTCTGCATACACCTGCACTCACTTCTGTCCTGCTAGGTGGATCCTGTTACCATCTCCCAATTACAGGGGAGAAACAGGTTTAGAGAGGTACAGCAACTAGCTCCAGGCCACACAGCAGTATGAGAGGTGGGATTTATACAGGCTGTTTATGTTGTCTCTGTCAGGCTCTGTGCCTCACATGATACCCACATGGCACTTGCACTTAAATATACTTACACATTTCATCCTCACAACAGCCTATGAAGTAGTTGCTGTCTTAACCCCCATTTTATAGGGGATGAAACTAAGGCCCAGAGAGATTAAGTGACTTACCCAAGGTCACATGGCTGAGCTGGGATTTGAATCCAGACTGTCAGTGTGTCTGTGCTAGTATACCCTATCTGCCCCACAACCTGAGACATCAATATTCTTTTCTAAGTTCCCCCACACAACCAGTGTTGCCCTACTCTGGGTTCTGCCAGTCCTTCACCCATCCTAACCCAATTCCTCTGCTCTGCAGTAAAGTTTATCTTTTCTCCAGCTCTGGGCTCCAAGGAGGAACTAATGCAGGTTCTGCATCTGTACCCTCCTGGCCTGATCTCCAGCCACCCATTGTCTCCCACTCCAGTCTCACTCACTTGAGGAGAAATTTGTCGAGGTGTGAGGAAGGTGCAAAACCACTGAGGCAGGCAGCTAGCAGTAGCCAGCCACGCTCGGCGTTGTAGGTGTTATGATTGTGCCACACCTGGTTGGCCAATTGGGCCAGGATCTCATCTCGCAGCTCAGGTTCCACCAGCCCCTGGTGCACGATGTAGTTCCCCAACATCATCTCCTGGGTGCCGCACAGGTGGGGGTCACCCATGAAACGCAGGATCTGGCCCACAGAAAGACTCTCCTGGGCCTCTGCCCCCTCACCCATGAACTCCTGCCATGCTTTTCCCATGGGCCCCCCTGCCCATATAGAAGTCCCTCATATTTCAGTATAACTCTCCTATTCTTTGTCAGGTGACCAGGCAGTTTGCTCCAACTGTGGGAAAGTGAGGGAATATTGACTTCTCCTGCCCATGAACCTTCTATGGCTCTAGACCTAGCAGTCCCCTGTACCCCTGCCCTCCAGATGGCTCCACCTAGGTCCAGAGGGTTCTCAATAGCATTCACATCTGACTGCATCCCTTCCAGAAAGCACCTTCTAGGGCTCCTCAGCCCTTGGGTGAAATGGGAGGGGGGCACTCATTGAGTTCCTCTTCTTGATAATGGATAAAATCTCCTCAGCTCCAGGCCTCCTCCTCCAGGTTACCCTCTGGCTTGCCTGGTGCCTCATCTGGGTTCCCAGCCTCCGCCCTTCCCTTTGCACATGCTGGTGGTCATGACCACGTCACTCTTCTCAGCCTGGGGAGTCCTTACTCTGAGGCAGCCTTGTTAGGAGGATGACAGGGAGGGAGGCCAGATCCCTACACTGACGTAAGTCTCTCCTCCCAGAAAGGGGCCTTGGGATTTGAGCTGGGCTTAGAGGCCCAAGAGGATGCCTGAAGGATTAGGGGTTTGCAACCTGCTATAGTGGTAAGCCTATGTACTTGAAGCTGGACTGACGCAGATCCCGTACCAGCTTAAACACACTTATGGCTTCCTCATGGTGCTCGGCAGGCAGCCGTGTGAGAGGCATCCTCAGGGGCACTGTCAGCATCCCAAAAGTGGGTTCCTGGGGACACAGGGAGGGCATGGGGAGCAGCACTAGGTCCAACAAGCATACCCATGTCCACTGTCCTGTGTTGGGTGAGAGTGTAGGAGCACATGGAGCCAGCTCCTGACTACAGTGTGTGGGTGTAGAGGCTAAGGTCTGTTGAGGCCAGACAGTGGTCTGCAGAGAGCAGCTGGGTGAGGTAGGGCAATCCCACTGGGCCCTTCCTGGAGGACAAGACACAGGCAGGTACAGCACCAACCCCCAGTCAGGTTCTGAGTATCCCTGGCTGGTTGGTGGGCTGTAAGGCCCCATGCCTATGCCCATACCACAAGCATCTTCAGGTCTGAGTGTCAGTGCCTATGGGCTAGGCCCTTGGCCTGTGACAGTCCAGTCCTTACCTTGAAGTGACATCGGATGAACTTGGCCATGGGGTAGTTGTTGATGTCTAGGGGCAGTGTGACATGGGGCTCAGCCTGGAGCCGAGGAGTCCGCACAACAGCCACTTGGGGCATGCTGGCGGGCCTGAGGTCTGTGGAGAGTGGAGGCATGTGGCAGCCACACCCTTGATCTTGGCCCTCCCTCTCTGTCAGAGCTGACGTACCTGCTGCTGCTTTCAGGAGCCCAGCCACCTTAGCTGGCACTTCCAGGTGTCCTACAGGCACCACTTCCCGTTTGCTTAACTCCTATAGGGACAACAAGAGGTGAGGGAACAGCTGCCACACCCCATTTGTTGGCCTCCCTCCTGTCCCCTGCTGCAGCCTTGACCCTGCACCCACCTCCTGCTCACGTAGCCATGCCTCCTGTGCCCTGCGCCTCTGTTCTGCCCTCAACTGCAGGAAAGCAAACGATTAAGGAGCAGGCATTGGATACCATGGCTAGGTGGCCTCTACAGGCATGAGCAGTAGAGCCTGGAGGCTACTGGTGGTGCTGGTGGAACTTCAGGCAGGGGAGGCAGAGGTATAGCCAGAAACTACAAGGGAGGGCAAGTAGAGGAGATCCCTCCACACATCTTCTTCTACCCTCTCCATAACCTAAGAGTGTCAGGAAACAGGCTTCGGAGGGTCAGCAGGCCTCAGAGGGGCCACAGTTACCCAGCTCAGAAGGAGAAGGCCATGGTGGGGACTTGCGCCACAGATGGTCTCCTCTTAGGCTAAATGTACCCCAACCTAGACAGGCCAGTACCTTGAGGTAGCGACGGCGGTTCACATAGGTGTGTACCAGGGACCGGAACTTCACCAGACTCTGCCTCATCTGCTGGTAGCGTTGCCTGGAGAGTCAAGAATGGAGTCATGGAATGACACAGGGCCAGTGATGCCTCTGTCACTGCCTCTACTTTACTCTGGGACCTTTTGGCTCAAAGTGGAACATAGACATGGCCAAATCCATATAGTAAATCTAGTGACAGGGCCTGGGTTGATCCCACACTGGTCATGTACTGCCCAGCATGTTTTTGTTCCAAGGTCCCTGAAGTTCAGGGAGCAGAGGAGTCCCCTCAAGTGGATCCCTAGTTGGAGGCCTACTTCAGCCTGCATGCCTCTAGAGACAGAGCTCAGGTCTCTATGAGCCAAGTCAGAACCCCAGAGGCTTTCCCTTCTGTAGGCCCCACCTGGCCAGGAAGCCACGGGCCCGACTTTGCAGCAAAATGATCTTCCGACGCAGAGAGTAGAAACGCCTCTGGGTGAAGAAGCCACGCAGGCAGCGCTGCAGCGTGAGGGCAGCTCGGTTCAGCACACGTTCCCGCATACTCTCCAGCAGCTGGTGTAGGTGCTCCTTGAGGAAGAGCTGGGGATGGAAGGCGGCATGAGTGCCTCTCTTGAGGAACCCATGAAGACACAGCAGCCAGGACTGCTTTAGGTGTATGGCTGGGAGCAGCAGGTGAGTTTAGAGGGGCAAAAGCTGGAGTATAGGTGCACCATGCAGCAGGGATCCATATGGCTCTGGGGGCTCCCCTTGGATATTGATGGATGCAGGGTCTCCATAAGATGGCTATGGACTAGGGCTCACCTTGCTAACTCCCACACAGTACATGTCCGGCATGACTGTGCAGAGGCGGCTCAGTACAGACACACACATGTTCCCATCCGCTGGGAGGTCAAGCTTGAGGGCCACCAGGCAGCGGTACCTGGGGGACCAAACTCAGCCTGAGGGCCCATTGTCCCTGCCCACCATCTAGGAAGTATGGTCCAGGGGGTGGCTCACTCACAGCATCAGAGAATAGCACTGTCCTCAAGACTAGTAAGTAGAACGAGATGCCACTTTACTGCCATCTGCTGGAGCATGTCATAATAGCGTTTCCTTTTTTTTTTTTGGTGTTTTTGAGACAGGGTCTCCCTGTAGTTCCAACTGGCCTGGAACTCACTTCGTAGATCAGGGTGGCCTCGAACTCGCAGAGATCCGCCTGCCTCTGCCTCCCAAGTGCTGGGATTAAAGGCATGTGCCACCGCACCCAGTGCATAATAACTTTTAAAATCACTCCTCTACAGACTCAACACTGAAACTATGAAAAAAAGGAAGTACCTGTCAATAAACACCTGGAAGGGTAGTCGCACTGGGAAACCTTCCTTTCGGATCCGCACGGTCTCCAGTACCCCTGAATAACGTAACTGTGCCATCATGACATCTGGTTCAAAGAGACCTGGCTCCTAGAAGGGGGCCCAGAGAGGACATCTACACATTACCCACTAGGTATAAAGGCACTCCAAGGAGTGAATTGTGCTCATAGTGGGCTGGACAGGTGGGGGGTCCAGAGAGGCCAAGCCACTTGCCCAGCATCACACATCACATTGGGGAGGACTTGGCTCTCCCAGGAGTCTCAGCTCTCACCTTCTTGTGGTTGGGTTTCAGGCAACGCACAAACAAGGGGTTACACCTGGGGAGGGACAGGAGAGGCAGTGTGAGACCTCAGGGGAGGGTGCTCATTCACTGAGGGTCGCAGAGTAGGATAAAGTGAGACTGGGTGCTCTCTTCTCCTACACCCACCCACCTTTCCATTTTTTCCACCAGATCCAGTAGTGACTGCTGGAACTTGGCAGCCACAGTGTGAGCCTTGTAGAGTCGAGTAATGGAGCTGCTCTTGCCCAGGCGCTGAGGGGCCTGTGCAGCATGGCTGGAGAAGAGATGTGCCACCACCTGGAAGGGCCAAGGCATTGGAAGACAGATGACAGGCAGGGAACACAGATAGTGAGAGGAGCAAGCACAGAACAAAAGTTTCCTCACGTAGACTCTTGCTGTCCCTGCTGTCCTGCCCTGTGTAGACTCATAGACTAAGCACTTCCCAGACCCCCAACCCCCCGGTAGACTGCCTTTTCTTCTCATTCTGGGGAACACACTGGCCTTGCACCTGGTTCTGGGGTGGCCTGCTGTACACATGGTCAGGAACTTTGGCCCATTTGGCAAAGGAAGGCCCACAGGGGAGGGGAGGCCTTCAGGTAACTCAAGTGGGCTCCCTAAGCACTCCTCAGAGCCTCGGGCTTTAAATATAAACTGAAGGTTCAGAACCTAGTCGTGGTGGTGTGTGAGAGTCTGTGAGCCAGGCAGAAAGGGGCTCGAGAGGGGCTAAGGCAGGCTGCCAGGTGGGCCAGGCCTGCTGAGGCTAGGACGAGCTTGAGAGCAGAACTAGGGTAGGGGGCTTCCCTTTTCCGGGACTGGGTTGAGCCAGAGGGAAACCGAGCTAGAGGAGGTTTGATTCCACAAGGCCTAGCAGTGGGCAGGGCCGGGAATGTGGGCGGGGTGTGCAGCATGGGAGTCTGGAAGGGCTCACCCGCGTGCGGCTCCGCACGAACACATCCAGCACATCTTGACGCACCTGGTCGTGGTTCTTGTCCAGGAACTTATGCACCTGAAAAAGGAGACCCACAGGTCAGTGGAGGCAGGTCCTGCTCACCCACATTGGTACTTGGGCAGCCAGGTTCCTTCCTTTGGGTCAGAGGCTTGCTTCCCTTTCACCAGGCTTCTGACTCTCTTCTATCCTAGGACAGAAGGGAACCCCCCTTTCCTTCTGTTCTGGCTTCCCCTTATCTGCTCTACCCTGCTCACTCTTCTGCAGGCGAGGGGTACCATCCAGACTAAGCCTCAGCCCCACCCTCATTTCTCTCCACCATTCTGCAGATGAGAAAAATAAAGCCTAGATGGAGACAGAATCTTGAAATCCTATGTTGTGACAAGGTACAAAAGTAGGAAAGTATCTGGGATGATGGTAACCACACGATATCACTACCAGTAACAGGCATCTTCCGAATCTCCCCTAAGTGTCTCATGGCCACCTCAGAAGACTGGCACCACGATCCCCATAATCCAATGAGGAAACAGGTTCAGAGATGGTAAGCAATTTCTCAAGGTCACACAGCAGAGGGCTACAGGACTAGAACTGGAACTCTGGTGAGGCCCACACTGTATTTGTCTCCAATCTGCAAGAGCCAGCACCATGGCCACTGCTGTCTCCCCTCTTACCTGGTAGGTGACCTTGCCAGCATAGTGCTTGATAGTAAACTCCGGCAATGGCATTTTGGGTTTGGAGTAGAGCGGGTTGGTGCCATGGTGGTAGTGGCATTTCTGCAGGAACGTGTGGTCTGTGGCCTGGGGAGCAGGGCCAGTGGTGGGCAGGGGGCCTGGGCACCTGTTCCTGGCCCAGGGTCAAATGCTTCAGCCCTGGCTGCTAGAGAGGTGAGGCCTGGCTCATAGCCATGGAAGGCTAAGTCATCCTGGGAGGGGGTCCACAGATGTGGCTGAATCACCTGATCCCTCTAGCCCAGCTGCCTATATTCTCCTACCACCATCACACCCTGTGCTTCAGAATCTGAGGCTCAAACCCATGTTACCTCATCCAGAACTTCTCACACTGGTGCAGTCCTTCCTCTGAACACCCAAAGCAACTACTCAGCTTTGGTCATGCCAGGTGAATGAAGGTAGTGATGTCCTAACCCCCACTTCCTGCCCCAGGTCAGAGCACAGGGGGTCTGGGCTGTGGTAGGGTTAGGATCAGATTAGAGCTCAGCCCATAGCATTGGTCTGGTTCTCACCTGTGGAAAGCAGCACTGATCATCCAGGATGCGCAGGATGCCGTAGGGCTTTAGTGAGATGAGGTTGATGCAGGGTTGGTTGTCTGCAAAGGCTATCTCCTGCCAATCTATCTGTTCGCGAATGTATTCCTCCTGTGGGCAGCAGGGGCTCAGCCACCCCACCTCCCTAACTGACCCATTTCTGCTTACTGCCTCCTGTTACAGGGAGCTGGTCTCTTACTAGGGCAACATGAACCCTCAGGGCCCTGCCCTCCCCTTTGCTTGGATTGGCAGAGCCTGAGCAGGACCCCAAGAGGACTCCTCTGTGGCTCAGCAGTCCAGCACCTTCCCCTGCAAAGCACAGGCCTCAGACAAGCTGGTCCCGCTTACAGTGCCTTTCTCTCCCTGTCTTGTGATGACACCCTTGGAATTGCCCTGTGTCCTTCAGGGAGGCCCTTGATCATCAAGGATGAGTGAGCAGAAGTGTAGAGGTTGCACACCTGCTCCTCCTGGAAGACGATCTTGTTGAACAGGTACTGAAGGTTCTCATTGGCGTAGTTAATGCATAGTTGCTCAAAGCTGTTGAAGCTTAGGTCCTGTCAGGCAGATGGGAGGCTAGACCTGCGTTCTCCTTGGTCAGCAACCCATCTGTTCCCACTGTGGCCCCTGTGGGCCTTCCTCAGGTCCAGGCCCAGGCCCCTCCCTGCCTTCCATGGCTCTAACTCAAAAAGTTAGAGTTTGGCCACAGACCCTCCATGGCTCCTACCACACACCAGGCAAGGGCCACAGAAGAGGCAAAAGCCAGGTTACCAGACCTTCTGCCTGGGTTTCAGTTCTGACTCTGCCTCTTTCTGGCTATGTGACTTTGGTCAGTCACCTTGGTTTCTCCCTGTAGGGATTCTGGCAGTACCTGCTTTACAGGGCTTTTTGAATGGAGTGGCTTGATAAACAGAAGTACCTAGCACACAACAGGTGCCATGTGAGTTGCCAACTGTAGATTTTGCTATGGAGGTCCTGCCTGGCCTCTCCCTGTTATCCCCACTGAGCATAACAGTCTCTCCCACAAAGGACACTGGCTCCCCAAAGTGCTGCTATGCCTCTTGTCTGTACAGATACAGTTCCTTCCCTGGAATGCATTTCCCAGGAATGTCCCCTTCCTCTAGGAAGTCATCTCTGACCGCTGCCCAGCTGAGGTAAAGGCTCCTGGACTCCCCACTACTAGGCTACATGTCAGGGCTGTGTTGTATAATCCTGTCAGACTATCCCCATCAGCCTCACTGTGGAGCTTCTCAAGGGTAAGGCCCAATTTGCTCCCACTCAACCTCACCTCAAAGCCATAGATGTCCAGGATGGCGATGGACAACGTGTCTTGTCTTGGGGACACCAGCGCATTGACCCTGGTGATGAGCCAGCTGAACAGCAGGGCATACAAGACCTTGGCAATGGCATCCCTGGAGCAGAGGTAGTACTGGGCTGGGTGGAGCACAGGGCAGAGGCACTGGGGGACTGGGAATCTGGCCAGAGGGGCGCAGCCTTACCTGGCATCCACAGCACTCTCCACAGTCAGGGGTGTAAAGATCTTCTCTCGCATTGTCTCCTGGAAGGACATAGCCTTTGAGTACATGGCCTTTGAGGAAGCCCCTGAGAGACTGGGGGTTAGCATGGAGATGGGGTAACTGGTTTCAGACTTGCTGCTGGCCAAAGCAGGACTGGGTTCCCTCCCCACACCTTGCCATTCAGGCAGGGGAGATGGCTGCTGGTGTAGTTGGGAAGGTACAGTACCACCTTGGGATTAAGCTAGAAGAGGAAGGACCAAGGATTCTGACAGCTCAGAGGAGACACTGTACCAGCAGGGTTGGAGAGGCTTCTTGGAGGAGGGCATATGGTTGTCGCTCTCCCCCGACCCCGACTCCTACCCCTGCCACTGGCAGGAGTGAAAGAAGGGGATCCAGGCCAGGGAAGAGCCCCTTCAGAGGACTGAAACAGTGAATTTATTGCCCTTGGGATCTGAGGCTAGCCTTCTCTAGATCTGACCCAAATACAGATAGAGGCGGGGGAGGGAGAGGGAGCTACTGCCCCAGAGAAACAGGCTCTAGCAAGCACATAGACTCACAGTCACTTTGAAGGTGATGGCCTTCTGCAGGCCCTCAGGGGAGACCTGAAGCAGCTCTGCCACAGCCTGGATCTCGCGGGCACTCACCACTGAGGCTACCTCCTGGGCATCCATCTATGCAAAACAACCAGGGCAGAGCCTGAACTAGACTAGCAGAGCAGAGTTTAAGAGTTCCTGTGAAAACAGAAACTAGAATGCCAGGGAAAGCCCAGAAAAGAAGCAAGTGGTGGAGGCGCCTAAGGTAGGAGAAACAGACTAATGTCAGAATGACTAAAACAGCCTGGTGTGGGGGTATGGTTCAGGAGTAGAGCATTTGCCTAGCATGTGTGTGTGTGGGTCCCACGTTCCATCCTCAACATCAAAATAAATATGTAAAACAAAACAGCTTGGCCACAGACACAGTGCACATAGATAGATGATGCACATTAGGAATTCTGGAATTGGGCTGGGGAGGTGGCTCAGTGGATAAATTACTTGCGTGAGTATTCAACCTGAGTTCAGATCCCAGCACCTGGGTAGAAACAGGTAGATACCAGGGCCTCAATGATAGCCAGTCTATCCGAAATGGCAAGCTACAGATTCAATGAGACCCTATCTCAAAAAATAAGGTGGAAGCTGGTTGAGGTGGTGCACACTTTTAATCTTAGCACTTGGGAGGCAGAGGCAGGCGGATCTTTGTGAGTTCAAGGCCAGCCTGGTCTACATAGCAAGTTCCAGGACAGCTGGGGCTACAGGGAGACCCTGTCTCAAAAAAAAAAAAAAAGTCTAGAACAGGGTGTCAGACCCCCGTTGCTGGAGTTACAGGCAGTTGTGACCCTCTTGACATGGGTGATGGGAACTGAACTCAGGTCTTCTCCAAAGGCAGCAAGTGCTCTTAACTGCTGAACCATCTCTCTAGTCCCTGTTATGATAAAATCTTGATAAATCAAATATTTAAATGTTAAACCCAAGCTGGGCATGGAGGTGCAATACTCGGGAGACACAGTCAGGAGGATATCTGTGAGTTCAAGGCCAGTCTGGTATACATAGAGAATTCCAGGCTCAGCAAGTGCCTACATCAACCCTGTCTAAATAAATAAATGTTCTCTAAAAATTATGGGAGAGGGATATTATAATTTTCTAGAGATAGTTTTCTTCTCTTTCTCTTTTAAATTATGTATTTTTATTAAATACCATGTGGTTTTTTATTTTGGTTTTTTTTTTTGGTCTTTTTGAGACAGGGTCTCCCTGTAGGCCCAGCTGTCCTGCAACTCACTATGTAGACCAGGCTGGCCTTAAACACACAGAGATCCGCTTGTCTCTGCCTCCCAAGTGCTGGGATTAAAGGCGTGTGCCACCACACCCGGCTTTGATATTTTTTAATATTTAAATTTTTTACATTTATTGTGCCGTGTGTGTGAGTGTGTGTGTGTGTGTGTGTGTGTGTGTGTGTGTGTGTCTGTGTCTGTGTCTGTGTCTGTGTGTCTTTGTTTCTGTATGTGGGTGTGTGGGTATCATGGCACACATGTGGAGGTCAGAAGACAACTTGCAGGAATCAATTAGTTCTTCTTCTACCATGTGGGTCCTGGGGGAATCAAACTCAGGTTGTCACTCTTGATGACAGGTGCTTTTACCCATTGAGTCTTCTTGTGAGACCTCAATTTGTGTGTGTGTGTGTGTGTGTGTGTGTGTGTGTGTGTATTTGTAAGACAGAGTCTCATGTAGCCCAGGCTAGGTTCAAACTCAATATGTAGCTGAACTTCTATTCTTCCTGGCATGAACCACTATGCCCGATTTTATGGGATGTTAGAGTTCTAACTTAGGACCGCACTCTACTGAGCTACATCCCCAGTCCAGAGAGATAGTTTTCTCTAAAAATGTCCAAAAAATTCACAATGCTTAAGAAAAAATTGATAAATGAACTGACTAAACACAATTTTAAAATAATCTGCATGGCAACTGTCCCTTCCCCCACACAGGAAAATCCCAAACTTGCAAACAAAATCAAAACATAAATGATACATTGGAAAATACATTTTCCTTCATCTAAAAAATAATCTGACTTTCCAAACATATATAAAAAACTTTCATTCATCACAAAAAAGAGCAAGCCAAAGCAGGAGTAGAACACATGTGTACTGCACAGCCAGAAGAGACCACTCAGACCACTCTGGCCAGGTAGGCTGACCTCGTGCTTCTCGAAATAGACGTTGCCCAGGTGCAGGATGGAGGCCAAGATGCGGAAGATGCTGTCCTGATCCTCGCTGCTGAAGCCCAGCACCTCCATAGCAGCTAGCAGGCGGCGAAAATCGTCTGCATCACTCTTGCCGATGATCTCACAGTTCCCCCCCTGGTCCAGGGCAGGGGCTAAGGTGAGGGTCCAGTCCTCAAGGTGAGGGCTCATCAGGTCCTGCTTTTCAGGAGGCTCTGAGGGGACTGAGAGCTTCACAGACCAAGTGTGAGGAAGAGCAGGGGCTGGTCATCTGACTGTAGCCAGCATTCATGGAGTATGTGCTACAAGAACAGTGCCAAATTGCCACATGCTCCTTACCACACCCCACTACATCTGCACAGTGGTGTTATGCTGTTCCAGTTTGAATCACGGAGAGGGACCATGTAGTTCCATGACACTGGTTGGTTCTGTTCTAGGCTCTGAGAGATGAAGGGTCTCCAGGAGGCCTATCTCCCTACTGAGTGAGGTTTGCTGTCCCTGTCCTCACTGCCAAGGGCTGCATGGCTACAGTCAGCAGAACAGGGTGGCCCTTGTCACATGCTCACCTGATTCAGGTAGTAGTAGGTCTCAGCTTCCTGTAGGCTAAAGGCCTGTCGCAGTTGGGTGGGCAGCCCAGCCAGCAGTTCATAGAAAATGTGGTAATTTCTCTCATTTTTGGCCTGCAGAGAAGGCAGATGGGTGCAGAAAAGGGAGCAGCCCACTTTGGTAGGTAACCCCCAGTCACACAGCTAGGCTCAGGCATGCGCATATAAACATGCCCCCATACAAGGGCTGGCAGTTGGCTGGCATCTCGGGAGTGAAACCTGAAAGCACCAGCTGGGGCTGGGGCTGGGGCTGGGACAAAGCCTTGGAGTGATGGGCTGCACGCTTTGTTTGGAGAGGTGGGAACAAGACTACCCATCTTTTCACATGTGCACTGACCCTGTATACCTACAGACATGCAACTCATAGCTCCAGATATGCACATACAGGGCTTTAGATGGTCCATTTGACCCATCTGGCTGAGGCTTTCCTTGGCCCTAAGTCCTTAGGACAACATGAGGACAGACCTCCTGGAGCCCACCTGCTATCTGGGGACACTCAGCCAGTTAAAGGGTAAGGTGTATCACAGTTGAGAAGTGAAGAGGTGAAGAGTGGGGTTGTGGGGTACAAGGGACTATATAGCTTAAGGTATCTTCCCTGAGCAAGAGATGGGGCAGGCAGGACTTGGAGGAGGCAAGAGAATGGGCCACATCTATACCCATGTGTGCTCCTGGGACAGAGGACAGTGAGAGCAAAAATATGGTGAGCTCTTGGATAGGGAAGAGCCAGCCAGGATGTAAGGGTGGAAGATGGAGGCGAAAGATCACAGGCTCAGGTACACATACATATAATCCACATATATGTAGGTCTACACATATGCAGATATATACATATTGGTTCATAATCCAGTATCCCCCTAACCCCAAGCCAGGCTCTGAATGTTGGTACCCAGGCCTGGGGGCTGCCCACCTGGAACACGATCCTCGACTTCTCCAGCAGGTACTGGGAGGTTATGGCACCAGTGATCATACCCCTGGGGGAGCACAATCAGCTTTGGGGGTGCTGAGGTGGCCATTTAGTCTTGGTGCTGCTACAGGCTTGGTGGAAGGCTTTGCAAGGCCTTGAGTACCTGCAACAATGCTACTCACCCCTCTAGAAAGATTTCCACAAACTTCCCGAAGCGGCTGGAGTTGTCATTCCTGACAGTTTTGGCATTACCAAAGGCCTCCAGGAGGGGTGTTGCTTCCAGGATCTGAACCAGGAAGGAGAGGTTGGGGGAGAGGTGGGCACTGGGGTTGGGACACTGCTCTGGGGGCTGACAGGGCTATGACTCTGGATATTCAGACAAAGGCCTCCCCAGAGAACTCTCCTTTTGGGTGGAGGGCAACCTGAAGTGGATTCTGTATAGAACCATAGATTCCTCTCTGCCCCCAGTGCCCCCATCCCACAGTGCTTAGCTCTTACACTAAGCCCATGCTCTTTTCCAGGGCATTCAGCCCTCAGGGGCTGCCTGGACAACTAGCCCCCAGCCAAGGTCAGGCAGGCCTTTGGATTCGTCTCCTTGTCCATTCTGCCTGTTGCCCATACCCCACCCCCCACATACCTTTATCTTTAGGGTCATCGGTGAAGCAGGAAGCAAAAACGAGATAAGAATAGAAGTGGGTCACTAACAAGACTGGCTAATCCTCTTCACCGGCACCCCTACATCTGGACCTCTCTTTTCAGGAGGCTATGAGCCTTCAGGCCCCAGTGAGCCTCCAAGACCCCAGGCATCCAGGTCAAGGATTTGAAGCATGACTCCAGGGTATGGCAGGCAAACTGCCAGTGTGCCTGCCACAAGGCTCAGGGATGTCCTGTTATGCAGCCAGAACCCACCATCTATCCTTTAGAATCCCTGGTCTTGTCCTCGACCTGCCCTCACCTCTCCTGCTGGGCTCAGTGCAGCTATCAAGGTGTTCTCGGGAACCTATGCTACCCTTGTGGGGTCTACCTCAGATGGTCTACCTGCTTTGACCTCCAAGGCTTAACCCTGGGCTCTTTACTTCCTGCCTACCCTCATTCAATTTTCCCAATCCTCTTCACTGGACCCATCCCTACCTCAGGGCATTTGCACCTGTTGATCTTTTGCCTGGATGCTGCTGCTCTGAGTACCTGCATGTTCCCCTCACTCCCTCAGGAAGCCCTCCAGGCTTCTCTCCCTCAAGGGAGCTATATTTCCAGCTATTATTTATTTACTTTATTTATTTATTTATTTAATTATTTATTTATTTAATTTATTTATTACTTTGAGGCCAAAATCTCACTATATAGCCCAGGCAGGCCTTGGACTCATGAGCCTCCTTGTCTTGGCCTCCCCAGCACTTGGGATAATAGGTCTGCACCCCCACACCAATTGCCATTCATGTAAGTATCCTGTGCTACTAGTAGGTGTGGATATCTCTGCTGTCTTTTTCAAAAACATATTTTATTATTATTTTTTATGTATATGAGTTTCTGCCTGCATGTAGGTAGGTACACCCATGTCGTGCAATGTCCGTGGAGGTCAGAAGAGGTCACTGGATCCCCTGGAACTGGAGTTACAGATAGATGTTAGCCTCCATGTGGGTGCTGGGAATGGAACTTGGGTCTCCTGCAAGAGCAATCAATGCTCTTAACTGCTGAGTCATCTCTCCAGCCCCAATATATCTCTGCTGCCTTGCACACTTGGAAACTGAGGTATACAGAGGTGCCCTGTCATGCCCAGGGCCCCTAAGCCCATGAGAGTGGGCCCCCAGGGGTGCCATGGTAAACATGCACTTAATGTGCATGGGTTATTGCTTTTGGCTAAGTCATGTACTCAGGATGAAGTCTTAGGAAGAAGCAGGGGCACAGTTCCCACAGAAATGACATCTCTATCCTCAGGCTGGTGGCAACACCCCTCTGTCCACACCTTTTCTGTTTAGTCTGGTACCTGCAGAGCTCACAGTATAGAGAAGCAGAGGGCAGGGCTGCCTGCAGTTGCTCAGTCATCAAGGCCAGTTCTACATTGTACCTTAGTTTGGGAGCTCCTGGAGGGGCCCAACAGGTGCATGGCCCCTTCTCTGCTCCTAGTGCCCAGCACCAGGCTGGACATGAAGCCAGGAAACTGAGGAGGGGACTTGTGGGTTAGGGTGTGTAAACATTACAGGGAAGGAGCCTGTGGCCCAGGCCTCAGCCAATCAGGACACAGCACTGCCCATGCTGTACAATTGGGTTCAGAGAGGATGCATGATCAAAGCCATCCAAGGAGATGGAGTCATGGGGGGTTGAACCAAGAGAAGCCCATTGGTTAAGACCCTGGATCCAGCCATGTCTAAAATGGACCCATGACAGGAGCAGGGCAGAGCCTCATGTCACACAGCGGGCAGGCATGTCCTCATGCTATGTGCCTGGACCAGCAACTCTCAGACCCAGCATGTCACACATCCTGACAGTTCTTGCCATGGAATGTAAACTGCCCCACCACCTCATTTAGGAACACTGGGAAAGTCACTTCTCTTCCTAGTCATCAGTTACCCCATCTGAAAATGAGCACAGACATACCCATTTCTCAGGGTAGCCCTAAGGTTTTCTAAGGATATAGGGAAAGAGCCCACACTGGGTGATGTACAAGGAGGCACTCAGGAATCCATTTCTCTCCCTACCTACTTGGCCTGCTCCTCCAGACATGTGGGAGAAATTGAAAACCCTGTCTAGAACAGAGGGCCTGGGTTGGCCTTCAGGAAGCCCCATCAAGATGGCCATGGTTTACAACGCTATGGTTACTTGACAACTTTTGTGGGCCTAGGGTTGGGAATTTTGAGAGCCTGTGGTTCTGGCAGCTGAGCTAGTAGGACAACCTCACTTTCACTGAGCCCTGGATTCTCATAGTATCTGGATGGACACCTCGTGAGCGCCTCTTCTCAACAAGGCTGATCCACAGCAGCCCTTCTGTCTCCATGCTGCCTTTGGCCACTCTTGGTCTAGCCCCCTCTCTCCTTAGCCTGATTTTTCTGCAAGTCACTGGCTAGCTTTGCTCAGAACTCAGATGCATCCTTGCATATCATCCCCCACTGTCACCCTTGCCTGAGCCCCTGGCTGGATTCCACATTGCCATTCTGTTGTCCCTTCAGCACCTCAGATCTACTCATAGCTTTGCACATAATCCTCCCTTGGCCCTCTCACTCTTCTCAGACCTGCATAAGGTCTCATTACTGTATTGTGTTTATGGCAGTCCTCCATGCTCCCTGTCCTCTTCCTTCCTTTTTTCTCTTCATCATCCTACTAATTTTCTTACAGACACTTAACGTTGTCTTCTTTTCCACCTGCACTAGAATGTAACTCCCACAAAGTTGTGAACATTCTTTCTGTCTTGAGTTGTTCTGCTTTATCCTGAGCCCAGCCCACAGTAGGGCCTCAGTAAACCTTTACTGAAGGAGTTGATGAGTTTCCGAGAGCCCAGTGGCAGGTAGTAGAACTTAGTTTTCTTATGTCTGGTCAGTAAACCTGGAGTCCCCTGGAACCCCCAACACCTGAGCCTGTTGCCTCGTCTGTTGGGAGCCTCTGTTATGCAAAGTGGAAGCCCCTTCACACTGACAGCTCATGCAGCTCGGGTTATGTGCTGCGGGCTCCTTTCATAGAGGGGTATCTTCCTGGCATCTTTCCTGTCTCTCCTTTTGAAGTGTCCGCCACAAATGCCATAACATAAACATGACCTTTGGCTCTAACAGGTACCATGCCTTCCTGTAATTTCTCCAGGCAGACAACAGTCTAGCAGTGTGGCAGAAATCCACTTCTATATGTAAATACAATGCCTCACAAAGCATCTAACAGCCAAAGATTTTACCACTACCCCCATGGTTTCCTGTCTCTCCTTTTGAAGTGTCCGCCACAAATGCCATAACATAAACATGACCTTTGGCTCTAACAGGTACCATGCCTTCCTGTAATTTCTCCAGGCAGACAACAGTCTAGCAGTGTGGCAGAAATCCACTTCTATATGTAAATACAATGCCTCACAAAGCATCTAACAGCCAAAGATTTTACCACTACCCCCATGGTATAAGGTATAAAGTACAACCGGCGGCCCAATCTCTCCGGGGGATGCACTCCCTCGTGACCGGCTTACGGACACCCTAGCTTTCGCCGTCTCTGTACTCTTCCCTGCGTGGTTCTGTGGCCAGGAACCTCGCATCCTGAGGAATAGTACACGGGTGAAATAGAGACGGGATTTCGGCTGAACAATGCTTCAGTAGCAGAGGAAGCTCCAGAGACTCGGACTCGAGCCACAGGGAAAAGCCTATGCGCCATCCACCGCCGCTCCTGGAGCAGCTGCGGCCAGAGATGCCTGTGGCCAGACCCGCCTGCGACTAGCCAGGTGCGTGCAGGGACCCCGAGCGCCCAGAGAGCGCACCCCCCATACTCTTCTACCCCATACAATGGCTACTCTTGGAACTTTCCAGCTTCTTGTTATGAGAATATGGTGACCTGGGCCATAACCAGGAAGATAAGGTTAGGTTGGAAACACAGAGGGCAAGAGTGGTCTCCCTGACCCCAGGTGCTCTCCTAGGAGGGATGAGGGACAGAGCAGCCTTGTGTTGGACCCCCCACCCCTAGGCCTTTCTGGAACCAATTTCTCCCTCATCCAAGTGTGCACAATATCCTAGCCTCTTTGGGGGCCTGCTCAGCCAAGTGTGCTGTGCTGGGGGTTCTGGGCAGATGGGTCAACCAAATAATGAATGGATAGTTGGTCTTACCTGCTGCATGACATCCCGTTTCTGGTTCATGGCAGCCAGGTAGCGCAGAATCAGCTTTGTGGCTTCGGTTTTCCCAGAGCCGCTCTCCCCACTAGCCAAGCACAGGGGCAGAGCATCAATCTCCCTCTGCCTCTCTGTTTCCACCCCAACCCTGCCATGAAGAGTGAGACATGCAGAGGCCTGGAGGTACCCAGTATTCTTCCTGGGGCTCATAGCATTTCACCATCTAGATGGCTGGATGCAGACCTACTTCCCAAGGTGACCCTATCTACCCCCTACCTGAGCACAGCCTTGCTCACCTGATGATGACACATTGGTTCTGTTTGGCATCAAGCATTTTGGCGAAGGCGAGATTAGCGATCGCAAAGAGGTGCCTGGTGAGATAGGCCGCCAGCCTCACTGTCTCTGACAGTCTGCCTTTGCAGTCCCAAGTCTCCCAGGGGTTGGGAGAGGGACACCTCTATCTAACCAATCAGCCAGTGCTGCCCACCCCTCAACCCCATCCTGAGCTACAGTGGCCTCCAGAAGAGGCAGTATCAGGCGGGGGTGGGGGTGGGGTGGGGGGTGGAGACAGCACTGAATTGTGGGTTGCCTACTTTTACCCACCTGAACTCACAACTGAAGGGCAGCCAGGGGTTTCTCAAGCTCAGAGAGGGACCTGGAACACCCCAGGGCAGCCCCCCATACCATAATAGACACTCACGGTGGGTTCTCTCCTAGGGCACGCCCACTGTACTGCTGCACCTGCTCCGGCCCATAGATCCCAAACATTCGGTATGGGTTCACTGACACCAAGATACTGCCAATATAGGTCTGATGACAGACGGTGACCTTAGTGCCATGGATGCCATGGCCAGCCGTTGCTCCCCCTTCCTGCTTTTGAGTCAGGAATCCCTTTTCAATGGGACATGTGCCTGGCTGCCTGGCCTCATCCTACCAGCTAGCCCTCTACAGCCCAAGAGAGCCTGTGCTCTAATGGAATCCCAGGCATTGCACAGGCTGAGGCTGTGAGTGTGGAGTGAGCCAAATTCTATAGCCTTAATCAGGTCAAGATGGCATGCCATCTGTTGCTCACCTCATTTATTCCTGGTAAGGCTCAGGCTGCAGGCATTCCTGTCTCTTGCCAAGGTCAGCCTCCACTGTTCAGAGCAGGGAGGGAACAGGGATCTGTGTCCCCTGAGACCACCAGAGTCCTTACAAGTATACCTGCCTTTTGGAGTTGGCTCTAGGTCTCAGGCCCTCTGCCCTGTAGCGCTGGGGCCAGAGGCTCCCTTCCATCCTTCTGGGTACCCTCAGTCTGGGATCTAGGCCTATACCTTCCAAGCAGGGCTTTGGACTGGCCAACTCCAGACTTACATAAATGAGGTTGCGTTCAAATCTGATCTTGAGGTTGGACAGCACAGTGGTCTCCTGGAGGTCTCTGGAAGGGCACAGAGGGGCTGTCAGGGCCTTGGTGCCATTCTACACAGTGCCAAGTCAGTGGGTATGAGGTCAAGCCCACCTGTTGACACTAACCAACTGTGAAACTTGGGCAACTTAGTTCATCTTGTGCCTCAGTTTCTTCATCTGTCCAGTGGGGTGGCAAGCATTATCCCACTTTGTAGAAGCCTAGGGGACATTGAGGCAGAAGACCTGAGGCTGAATTGCTATGGCTGGATAGTGGAGTCAGCTTCACAGTTTTGGGGATCTCCAACATGTGCCAGCATTTTCACAGGAGCTGCCTACACCCACCTTGTGGATGGGAAACTGAGGCACAGAGAGGGGAAATTTTATGCCCAGAGTTGCCCAGCTGGTTGAGGCTCTAGAAATGTCCTGAGAGGTAGATTCCAGGTACTGCAGCAGGGAATAGAGGATCCCACCAGGACTCCTCCCACACCCCATCCACTTACTCCAGTTGTGTCATGTCCTCCACACCATCTTCCTTGCGCTGCTCACGGGACCGCACAGAAGGCAGATTGCGTATGGAGTGCATCTATGAGAGAGAAGAGTAGAGGGCAGACTTGAGGCCCTGGTGGACTCTGGCTACGACATACCTGGCACCTGCTCCCATTTCACAGAGGGAACTTCAAAGCCAGGCCTGAGGGTCCTGCAGCCTCCTTACCTTAGAGTGCAGTGGCCCATGGAGACTGTGTGCAACCCTTACATAGAGAGGCACAGGTCTGTTCTCAGTGTCAAAGGATCTTTGGGGCAAGCATGCCTATGAGCTGCAAGTGTCCTGCTCAGGGAGTGAGCACACACACAGCACCCGTCCACTTCCCACCTCTGCCCTCTCATTGTCCCCTTGGGGCTCCCTAGCAGTCTCCCTATGTGATAACTTTTGTGACCACTTGATACATCTGTGTCATGCATAAGGCCTCTGGGAAGACAAAGATAGAGACTGTCCAGGTTAAGTGTGTAGATACCACATGTGGACCCACAGGCATAGGATGCAGTTCTCATAACCCTCATGCATACCTATGGTCCTGTGGGATGTGGCTATGGGCAAGGCCCATGTGCTTGATTTGGGCCACACACAGGTATACTCTTTCAACATCCACTTGAAGTGTACCTTTGGGCAGCAGCTAGGGTCCTCATACCCGGGGTGGGGGTCTCAAGAATGGGAGCTCTGATATCTACTTTGGGACGAAGGATCTCCACAGTGCCCACTTATGTATACACATGTATGTGCACAAAGGGTAGGCAGATAGCCTTCATTTCCATGGATGTCATGTCTGGTCAGATTTGGCACATACCTGCTCTGTATCCTTGTCCCTGGCAGTCACTCATGTCCATGTAGGCACATGGACCTGCAAGGCTCTGTGTAACTGCAAGCATACATGTGTGCACCCTCGGCTTTTTCCACCCCAGCTGCCCCCCATCCCCAGGCAGGTGAAGAAAGGGAACACAGGAGGATCTGCATGCTGCAATGCCTGCTACTCAACTGCTAAGTAGGGCACAGCAAGTTACAACCCTTTTGGCCTTGGCCTCCAGCCCACCCATCTGCCCACGTGCTTGCCAGCGGCCACAGACCCTGAATAATTCAGCCACTCACGTATTCCAGGGTGAGGAGGGCCCAGGCATCCTTGCCCCTCACCCCTGGGCACGCTGTGCCCTGCTCCCGCAAAGCTGCAGCCCACACAGCACGGGGCACCCGTCGCCGGGGCCAGGGCCCCCCTAGTAGCCAGGCTGCCCCAGTTGCCATTGCCAAGACAGCCCTTTGCCCGCTCTGTGGGGCACCGTCTGCAGAGGTGGAGAAGTACCTGCTACTGCTGCTTGCCCCGCCCATCCTGGGTGTCCCTGGGGAGGTTCCAATGTTCAATTACCTCCTAGGGCTACAGAGCATCGGGCTCACGTTCCACAATGTATGTGGCAGCCAGGCATGGGCTGGGCACCCTGCAGACAGGGTGTCTGCCTGCACCCCACAGATTCCTGGCCTCTGGCCCTCAGTTTTCTCACTCTGGAATGAGGAAGTTGGAAATTTGGGTCCTGCCCCATACCCTCATCTCATACTTCCATGCAGGGCCTGCCTGTGCTTGGCATTCTCTTGTCCAATCCCTAGATCCCCTGCAAAGCCCAGGCAGTTTTCCCCACCTGTAGAGGGGAGACAGTTCCATGCCAACAACCACCTGCTGGAGCTGCACAAGGCTACTCAGGCCACCCCCCCCCCAATCCTGGTTTCTAGGCCATAACTCCCAGTCCCACCCTCTGACTATGTCTCCATACCTTGTTCTGCCAGCTTTGAGGGCCAGTCTTTTTCCCAGGGCCCCTGAGGGACAAGCAGGCACCTCCATGGCCCAGGAGGTGAGATTGAGAGTGGGTATGTACTCTTGGCCAAGGATGGTGAGCATCTACTGGTGACCAGAGGTGGGAGCAGTGCAGACTCCAGGCTCCAGGCTCTGAACCATGCTTTGGGTCCTGGGCTGGCTGGTCTGAAGGCTGCAAGGCAGCAGAACCCCTTCGCTGAAAGGAACTCAGCCTCTGCACCTGAGGCATGACAACAGCAAACCGTGCAGAGGCAGCCTGGGGCTGCTCACCTGCCTTGGGCAGGTGTCCTGGAGCCCAGGTGGGGGCCAAGGGAATCCGAGTTCTGGACAATGTTTTCCAATGGTGCCATAGCGGCCATGTAGCCCTTGTCTGGTTACGTGTGGCCAGTGGGTATAAGAGGCTGAGTCCTAAGTCCTTTTCCTCTGGGTAAGCATCCTTGGAAGGTGTTGAATTTGAGATCTCAGGCTCTGCTGGTGGCTGAGGGTCCCCTGGGGTAACTTCTTCTTTAGGGTTCTCCAGGCTTGGTCCAGCTGACTCAGTGAGCTGCCCAGGCCCTGGGTCGTGATGCCGGCCCAGGAAGACAGCAGTCGAGTCAGAGACTGGGTCTTCGGGTTGGGGGATGGGAGATGGTGTAGGGCTCATGTGCGCAAGGAAGGGGTTTTTGGGCATAGGAGGTGGCCTAGAAAAGCCTCTAAGGCTGCCCAGACCTCCTGGCCAGGGGGAAGGTGGACGCTGGGTGGGCATGTCCACATGCCAGCTAGGGGCCAACAGGGGCACTGTCCAGGGCACCTCTGAGTCCTCTTGTTCCTGTTGGTTTTCCTGGTGCTCCAAGGACCCTGTGGCAGCCCCCCAAGGCCCAGCACTGGGTGGCGGGTGGTAGGGCCTTCGAACCCATGGCTTTACAGCCCTCGTGGGTGGCTCACTGAGGCGCCTCCATGTGCGTGGGAGGCGTGAGGGCAATTTGAGGGACCGGTGCCTGGGACCATGGCTGGGCAGTGGGGGTGATGAGGTTGGTTGGGAAGAACCCAGCACTGGTGATCGGGGTGGGCCTAGGCGCCCAGAGGTTTGGCGCAGAGGCAGGGTCTCTCGTAGAGATTGAGGCCTACGTGGAGAAGGTGGGAAGGGTGGCTGGAAGAGGCCTCTATGGGGGGACAACTGAGGGGACAAAGGCCCCAAGGGTGAATGGTAGCCCTGGCCTGGAAGGCTTCTCAGTGAGGGCTGGGGTGAAGGCAGTGGGGGCCAGGCCCGCCTCCTTGACCCCAGAGGGGAAGTCCTGGGGTGGCCTCGACTGTGAGAAGCCCTGAACAAGGGCTGGGGTACAGGGAAGGCCAGAAATTCAGGGGGGGCCTCTGGACTCACAGGAGGAGGCTCAGCAAAGCCCCACCTATTTGCTTGAGGAGCAAGGGGCACATGAGCTGGGGCAGCCCAGGGTGGTGGATGCCTGCGGAGAGAACTGTAGGGTGAGCTGTAGGGAGAGGCTGGCCGTGGAGGCCTGGAGAGAGTTGGAGAGAAGGGTGGAGCTGGTGGTGGGCCTGGGCTGGGAGACTGTCTGGGCACAGGAGGGGAGATGAGTGTACTCCAATGGGCAAGGGCCTGGGGTGTGGGCCTGGGTGAGGGTGGGCCATGGGATTTGTTGTTTCGAGCCTGTGGCTGGGTGCGTCTCAGCATGATGGGTGTGTTGGGCCGATCAGGGTCCATGCCAACCAGCCTGTAGCCAAAGCGTTTGTAGGCTGCCTCCCTAACTGTGGGGCCTCCTCTTCCGGCCTTCTGGCTGCCCCTGAGCCGTGGAATGGGCTTCTTTTCTGACAGTGTCTTTTTGAGGAACCGTGCCAGTGAGGTGGCTGGGCGTGGTGTTGGGTGGCCAAATTCAGGGCTGAAGCCTAAGCCTTGGCGCGAACGAAAGGCTGACAGGGCCCGCTGCAAGTTCCGCTGACGTGGTGTGAGGAAGTCCCAGTAAGGGTGGGCATAGGGCGTCGTGGCCACTGGGGGCATCTCCTCTTCTTCTTCTTCTGCATTCCCCAAAGGCAAAGGAATGTCCAGGGAAGGGGGCAAGGGCACCTCTAGCTTCTCCTTCCCAAACAGCTTCACCTGAGGTCGTGGGAAGAGGCGGAACTTGCGGATGAGGGACAGCTTGGATCTGGCTGGCTTGTCCATACCTTGCTGCTCAAAGAAGGCAGCGCTAGGCAGGCGGAAGGAGGTGCTCTGCCGGTCTCTACCCACCTCTTCAGGCTCCTCCAGCTCTGCGATGTCGTCCATGGGGTGAGCATATGGGTTGTGGGGTGACAGTATGGGTGGTGGCACCCAAGGGTATACAAAGGCTGACTCTTCTGGATACAGATAGGGCACCCTAGAGGGGTAAATGGCCTCGTCCCCACCACCATAGATGCCTTCGGCATAGGGAACCCCATAGGGATCAAAGTAGGGTATGTCATAAGTGTCATATGGGAGGTTGTAAGCTGGGTATGGAATGTGGTAAGGTGCATAGGGATCCAGGTAGCAGTTGTACCGGTAGGCCTCATCCTCAAAGCTGTCATGGTAGCTGTAAGGAGATGGATACCCTGATGGAGGTGCATATGGGGGTTCAAAATCATCATAGCCATAGCCATAGCCATAGGCTGGGTAGAGGGCATCCTCATAGTAGTCAGGGTGGTAGTAGTTGTAGGGGTCTTCAGGTGGGTACCCGTAGTGGTGGTCGCCGTAGGGCGGCCAGGCAAGGCTGTATGGGCCATACCCTGACAAGTAGGGTTCTTGTTCCTCGTAGTGGTGTAGCGACTGCTGGTCGTAGTAGTTGTCACCCTCCCGGTGGTAGTCATAATACTCGCCCAGGTCCTGGAAGCCCTCAAGCCCATACAAGGACTTGCGGGAGCCCGCATGGTGGAATGGGGCCTCGTCTTCAAAGGGCAGGAAGCCCACTGGCTCTCCGGATGAGTAGATGCTGTGGCTGCGGGGGAACCTGCGGAGCCGGCCTCCATGCCGCAGTATCTCAGCACCCGACGGGAAGGGCAGTTTCTGGGAGCCCACTCGGGAGCTCGAGCGCTGGAGCCAGGCGTCCACCATTGCCTGCTCACTGCCTGACTCCTTGGCCTTCTTGAGAAGAAACTTCTTGGTCAGCCAGTTGATGGCCGTGGACGCCTTGCTAAGGGACTGGGCACGGGGCCTCAGGCGGCCATAGCCACGCCGGCCCGGGAAACGGATAACCATGAACGACGGCTTCTTTCCCTTCATCGCCCGCTTCTTTTTGCCCATGCGCATCTGCGTCATGAGCTTGGATGTGGACTTGAGCACCGTGCGGGCCTTCTTCTTGCGTTTGGTCTTCTGGGGCCCAGTGTGGAGGCCCCAGAAGAAGGCCGATGCACTCCGGAACTGGCCCTTCTTGGAGATCTTGGGAGTGCGGTCTCGGAAGCCCATAAACAGCCGAGACGTGCCCTTCAGGCTCCGCTTAGGCTTCTCTGGCTCAGGGGCCTTCTTACCCTTCTTCCCTTTCTTGGCTTTCTTCTCCTCATCTTCCTCTTTTGCCATGGCGGCCTCTATTCCTGCTGGGCCTGGGGCCGGTGTCACCGCTACAGGGACTTGGAAGCACTGTCTGGAGACCTACTAGGTCTCCTGCTTGCGGCTGGACCTATACAGCCTCCTCAGTCTGCAGAGCAGCTGGAACTGGCTGGATGACATGGGGAGGAACAAGACTAACATTCTGGAAGGGCGGATCGGTAATTCATCTCCTCTAGATCAGCCTTGGGTTTCACCTTTGAGGGCGATGGAAAGTGCTTGGGTGTTCTTTACCGGTGGAGGGAGGTGGAGCTTAGGAGGCCTACGCTGGGGCAGCATCCTGGCTTTAGAGTCACCATGGCAACAACTTGCTTACTCTGACCAGGCCCTCCTGTGCCCCAGCTGACTGAACTCCCAAGGGATTGCCTGGGTCCCCTAGTTTCACGGAAGACACTGAGGCCTATAGAAGGGCACCATCAGCCCTAGACACTCAGTACTCCTGCACTGGACCCAAAGGGGACTCAGGTCTCCTGAGCCTAGAGTAGAATTCTCAAAGTCCAACTTGGAGGGGATCTGGAAGTGAGAGGGCAAGTGTCCAGGGGCTGTGGCCAGTGTAATGGGAGCTGGCCAACTCCAGGGAGCTGAATAATGTATCAGGGAGAGCCCAGCTGCCTCCTCATAAAGCTGGGCACGGTGTGGAGTCTCTGCAGGCCTTGGGGAGGGGCAGGGAACTGAGGAACAGAAATGAGGTATGGCCTAACTCTGATCCCCAGCTCTGCCACTGAATGGCTATGTGGCCTCAGGAAAGCCCTTGACCTACTCTGGTCTGTGGCTCCCTCATCTGGAAGAAGCAAGGCCAAAGACAACTACTGGGTAATTTAAGAGGCAGGAGGGCTTCCCAGTCACTTGTCACCACAGCACCTGTCTTCTCCCATTCCTGCCCTGGCTGGGTAGGTTATGACCACACAGACCCTGCACTCTAGCTACAAATTCAACACTTGACTCAAAGCCAAATGCCTACTGTCTGCTTGATCTTTTGGGAATCTGTACTAAAAGAGGTTTTGGGGTTGGGGCGAAAGTGTAGAGCCTTGAATGAGGACCAGGCTCATCTCTAGCACTGGGGCAGCAGGGACTCTGGGTAAGATCTGTGGCTTGCTAGAAGAAGGGGGTTAAGGAGAACTCTGGTAAGCGGGCAGCTCTGGGACCCAAAGCTTCAGAACCATCTTTCCCTCCTCTTCCTCTTGACCTTCCTCCTCCTGGTTGGTCTCATCTTCCCTCTCCTCTCTTTGTTTCCTTGCTCCCTTAACTTCTTTCCTCTCCCTTCTTTTCTCTCTTCTCCATCCACCCGCCTCTTACCCGTCCCTTTCCCATCTTCTTCTGTCCAGGACCAGGGCATAAAGGGTTCAGAGAGGCCGAAGACCAACTCTAGTTAATGCCAGGCTGCCTGTTCACTGAACTTCTATGAGCCCATGGGCCCCAAAGCTGTGGGCTCTGAATGTGTAGTACAGATCCTTGAGAACTGAGGTTTCTGCCCTGGTTCAGCCACTTGCAGACCCTATGCTATTGGGTTAGTAACTGTAGAGCCTTTGCATGCTTAGCTGTGAGATGGGGACAGGGAGGCCTTCCTAGGCTGTGGTAAGGAGCTCTCCTCTCTTACAGTCTGACACCTGTCCCTGCCTCTTCACTTTCCTCTTCACTTCTTGCTTCTTCTCCCAGAGATTCCTGGGAATCTGGGAACCCCTAGGGTTCAGCCATGCAGAGGGGTGGTGGTATCTGCTGCAGGCAGCCACTGGGAGGGAACAGGGCACTGGGTGGAAACCAGAGTGACTGAGTGGCTTGCTGGGCAAGAGGTGTATGGAGTGACCACACTTTGTCACCTCCTCACATACCCCCATCTCCCTTGCCTCCCTCTGGCCTATGACTGATGCTGACTTGAAGGTAAGGTAAAGGAAGTACAGAGGAGTTGGCCTTTCTGAGCCAAGACTTGACAACTGCCCTGCCTCCAGGAAGTATTATTCTCTCCATTCTCCAGACTTAAGAACCTGGAGTGGACAGCTGAAGTAACTTATACACTGTCACCCAAGCTCAGGATCCTTAACCCCACTCCTGGGCTGGCTGCCCACCCTGCTCTGGGGTGCCTGGACAGTTATGTGCTGGTGTATGTGGGTGGAACCCAGGCTCTGGGCAGAGGCAAGGGCTTCATCAAGCTGATCCTAGAGCCTGGCCAGGTAGGCTATTTCAAGGCCAAAGTCCCTAATTAGGCCATTGACAGGCCAGAGCCTCAGCTCAACCTCCAACAGGCCCTAAGACCTCTACTGTGCTTGTCTCTGAAGTGTGAAGGAGATGACCCAGCCCACATCCTTGCTTGATCCTACTTGGATTCTATAGCCAGCCTGGTCCCTGTCTCTGAGGCTCCTGTAGCCAGCTTTTATTTGCTTGTTTGCTTGTCCATCCATCTGTCCATCCATCCATCCATCCATCCATCCATCCATCCAAAGCCCCTGTGTGAATTGTGCAGTGTTTATGGAAAGGACAAAACTGCCCTCTGCCTGCTGCATCTGGGGGTGGGAAATGGAATGGGTCAAGTGATGCTAAGTGCTTCAAATAGAAGAAAAGAGTGGGGCATCCTGGGGGTGTGCCACATCAAACAGACTGTAAGGCCTCATGGACAGGGAAGAATGGGACCATAGGGGTCCTGTGGGTAATACCATGCTCTAAGAGGTGGCCAAGAGGCAGAGGGGGCAAATGAAATGAGGGGTTTAGGGTATGTGCACCAGGTCTTGAGGACTTGGCTGTGACTTATAGAAAGGCAGGGACTGCCAAGGGTTTGGGGGAGAAGAGATGGGACTTGATTCTGTCCCACAGAATTCCTCTGGCTCTGATGGGAGACAGACTACTAGGCATGAGGCAAAAGCAGGGAGGCCAGCAGGGAATATGCTGAGTCCAGGAGTTGTGTGTGGATCTTGCCTATCTCAAGAGATGTGGAGAAGTAGCAGATGGCTGGGAGTGTCACAGGTGAGTGTTAAATGGGTGGCAAGGAGAGGCCCTAGGGTTTCCTTACTTAATGTGTGGAAGGTGGAGAGGTAGATGGCTGAAAAGTGGGGAGCTTTAGACCAAGAAGGTAAAATACAAGTCCACTTGGGTCAAGGCGATTTCAGATACCTGTTAGCACAGATACAGGGCTGGGGACATCAGTTAGCCAGCTGGCATTGAAGTTATACTTCTGGACGGTGATGCTAATGACTATGGAGGAAAAGGAGTCAAGTACTGAGCCCCAGGGCAGCACTATTGGGTCAAGAAGCAGACTATGAGCCAGAAAGGAGTCCTAGGGTCTCAGGGGAGTGTGTTTCAGAGGAAAAGCAGGCAGCTGTGACAAATGGTTATACAACAGATGAGCTGAGGATGGAGAGCTGCCCATTGATTTCAGTGGACTGACCCAAGTCCTGAATGAACTCTCAGGCAGGCATCTCTGTGCTTCAAGGCCCTGTTGCCCAGACGAACAAGTTGAGGCTCAGAAGCAAGGCCAGCCTTAGGAGGGCACATGGCACTCACAGCCCAGGGGATATGGAGCCAGGTAACTCAGAACTGAGGGTCAGCCTCATGCCTGCCCTTGATTCAACACATAGCAAATAAGAAAGCCTTTGAGGATAAGGAGGAGGGATGAGGATGAGGCAGAGGGATGAGTGTTAGGTAACTAGTCAGGCATTAGTAGGCTTGGGGCCATTGAGAATGGACACCTCCCTTCCCCATAACCAGCTTTGGACCCTACTTCTTATTTCTCTGATAACATACTCCTTTTTAAAAATATAACATACTGGGCTGGAGAGATGGCTCAGTGGTTAAAAATACTGGTTGTTCTTCCAGAAGACCTGGGTTCGAATCCCAGCACCCACATGGCAGCTAACAGTTGTCCGTAACTCCAGTCCCAGGGGATCCAATAGCCTCTTCTGACCTCCGCGGACATTGCACGACATGGGTGCACTTACCTACATGCAGACAATACACTCATACACATAAAATTTTTTTAAAAAATTAAAAAAAATACATCCTAATTTTAAGAAAGGAGAAATATCACAGTTGCCTCCCTTAGAACTTAAAATACCATGTAAAAGGAGGGAGAAAACATCACAATTGACCCTCCTTAATATTTAAAATACCACATGAGAAAAATAGAAATGATATGTACTGTCTTACCTTTCAAAGGGAGTTTTACCTTTACAATGTAAATAGAGACTTCAAGAGGCAACCTCAGTGGGGCATGGTGGTGCATGCCTTTAATCCCAGCACTGGAGAGGCAGAGACTAGGCAGATCTCTGTAAGTTTGAGGCCAGCCTGTTCTACATAGTGAGTTCCAGGACAGCTGGGGCTACAGGGTGACCCTGTCTCCAAAAAAAGACAAAAAACTACGTGCTTGTCTTTCTTTTCAGTACCCTTGTTAGAAAGTCAGTATGTACCTTGATATTGGTTTTTGTTTCTTTGTTTTGGTTTTGGTTTTTTGAGACAGAGTCTCCTGGTAGCCCCAGCTGGTATGGAACTCACTGTGTAGACCAGACTGGCCTTGAACTCACAGAACTCTGTCTGCCTCTGCCTTCCGAGTGCTAGAATTAAAGGTATGTACTACCACGCTCAGCTTATTTGTTTCTTAACATGTCAATTGTAACTTGTAGTATTATAGTTTGTTTCCTCATCTACACACCTCCCATACTTTTATGACCCCTCTGGGCTACCTGTGGAAAACTCATTGTGCTGGACAGCTTCAGTTGTCAACTTTATACACTTGGTTAGAAGGAATCTCCACTGAGGAATTATTGGTATTGGATTGGCCTGTGGCCAAGTCTATGGGGCATTTTCTTGATTGTTGAGTCATGGGGGGGGCATCCCACTGTGAGTGGTGCTACCCCTGGGCAGGTGGTTGTGTATTGTGTAAGAAAACAGTTTGAGTACAAGCCAGGGGAGCAAACCAGTAAGCAGGTTCCTCCATGGTCTGTGTTTCAGCTCTTGCCTCCAGGTTCCTGACCTCAGTTCCTGCCTTG